TCATATGCTAATGAAAAATAGACTCATATTTATACTAAATTACGGGACAAAGTAAGGAATGAGGAAATGAAGACAAGGTTCAGTGCATCAATGAGGGTATAATTGCCGACACAAATGCGTAAGTAGAGAATGGGACAGCTAAGAAGGTTATGGAGAACAGGAAATTATCTTCTTCAACTATTAAGAGGAACCAAGGGCATGAGGTTAATGTAGTGTAGAGCCACTTAAAAATATAGTAGATGAGAGATTGGTGGAAGATATAAGAAAGCACAATGTAATGGGGAACATTCTCTAAGGTGGTCTTAATGCATGCATTTACAGGTTACGGGTTATTTCTCCCTAAATTAATTATTACCAATTTTCAATACAGGATTCATCAGTAACACCAAGCCTGTTCTGCTGTCACTGATGAAATATCCTCCCTTTTTTTGAAACCTTACACAACAATAATATATAATCAAACAAAGGTCAGTCAGGGGCACACTCTCCAAGTAAGTTATGTGACCTTACTGAAGATGGAATTCTCTGCAACATCCACTGGCACGTCAATGGAGAAATAAAAAGTCGTTGGAGGAGAAAGAAAAGTGGCTCAGCCTAGAGTAATGAAAAGTAAACCTTGGGTTTCGATAGAAAGTAGAGTTTGGGCCTAGAAAGTAGAGAGTATTGTCCATGGTGTTTTCACCTCTCACTGGCTTTTTTTTTTTTTTACAGACCTCACTGCCACAACTGTCCTCCTGGAGTGTCAAGTCATATAATAAATTGCAGGTCCTCCCCCACTGTTTAACACGAATGACAATCTATTTTCTTTAAAAGAGACTACCTTTTTGTTTGTTTATTTTTGTTTGGCAGTTTGATTGTGCATGTGCCTTACCCTCTCCACCCACCCATATTATTTATTTACCACATTGATACCCTGCCCTTCTCACCATGAAGGGGATTCAGAGCGGCCTTACAGTAAGCAGCAATTCAATGCCATAGAATACCGGGGAAGAAAATTCACTCCTAGACAATTGAATGGCCTAAACATGGGTTCGTCTTTGCTTTGTGTGTGTATTTTTTTGCTATGTTGCTTTTCTAAGGTAGCAATGCATAACTCAGCTATTTTCTTTCCCCTATGAGAAATTCCTCAAGAATTTCTGTGGATCCAAAATTCTCATATGGTTTGTTTGTGCATCAAGCACCATTTGCAAGAAACGTGGAAATGCATGGAAAATATTTCAGCACAGAAACATTAATTGCTGTACAGATTTTTTTTACATTAAAAATATTGCTGTCTTTTCTAACAATGTGTCAAAAGTATAACAGTTTCAGTTTAATGATGTTAGTGGAGTGATTTGCTCTGGGGTTCATTTGTTTGTCTATTTAGCAGTCCATGTTAGCCATGGAATTGTTCTCAAGAACCATACTTCAGAAGAGTTGACTTTCTTCCAAACAGTTTTTTTCAATGTCCAGGTTTCGCAACAGATATTGGAAATATGATGGCAGGGACAATTCAATGATATATCTTTACACTTAAGGACCTTGTCCAATTCCTTCATAGTTGCCCTTCCTAGTCGTAATCTTGATTTCTTGATTGCAGTCTCCATTCTGATTAAGTACTGAGGTAGAGTATAGAAAATCTTGAACTAGCCTAGTGTCTTTAAAATTATGTAACTAATCTGTTCTCATTATTTTGGTTTTTTTTCTTCATATTCAGAGTTAAATTACTTGCTTTTTTCTTTTCCTTTCTTTGATGCTTGTTCCAAGTCTTTGCTATTTTACTATCAGTAGTCATCTGTAAATCTTCAATTGTTGATGCTCCTTACTGCAATTTGATGCTTTCATATTGAGTCTAATCTTGCTTTACATAAGATATGTTCAGCATGCAATTAAAGAGGTAGGACACTAAAAGCTTTGCCTGACCCCCTTGCCAATTGGAAACTATACACTTTCTCTGTCTTCTACCCTAATTGTGGCATCTTCCCACAAGTACAGATTACAAAACAGGACAAGCAAATGTTTTGGAACACCAATTTCTTTAAGAGTGATCTGTAGTTGATATGACCTACACAATTAAAAGGATTGCTATCATTTCTGTAGCACAGGCTGGTTTTCTTCTGAAATTGTTTGTTGCACTCCATTATCCAATGCGTATTGCAATACAATCACTAGTGCCTCTTCCTTTCCTAAATGCAGTTTATATATCTGGCATTTCTTGCTTCATATCTCATTATAATCTTTGTAGTAGAATTTGAGGCATTGCATAGGAAATTAAAGCGATTGTCCTGTGGGTTACTGAAAACCCTGGTGTCCCCTTCTTGAGGATGGGAAAGTATATTGGGTGCTTCCAATTTGTGGCCCATTCTTTTTTTTTTTTTTGGACCAATTTTAATAAGAATTACAGTGTGTTCTGTCTCTGTCACTGTCTCTGTCACTTGAAGCCGATCTATTAATATTCCTTCTATTTCAGTTGATTTATTTCTTCCAAGTACTGCAAATTTGCCTTTCACTTCACTTTCTAAAATTGTAGGTTTATCTTCAAATGGCTCTTCCATCACCTCTTTTATATGGTTCTTGTGTATATAATTTCCATTTTATATCTATTTGCTTATGTGATGTGTCCCCATGCTGGTTATAGAGCATTTCCCATTCTTGGTATACCTTTTCCTTTGATTTCTTTAATCTTATAAAAGTCGTGTTTTTTCATGTTTTGTCTTCATCTGTTGTTACTGTGCATTGATTATTATAGTTGTTGTCTTTGTTCTGGAACGTAAGTTGTTACACAGTTGCATTCAAGGTTCAGACTCTATTTCTGTCGCATTTTACTTTTGTATGTAATGGTTTAACTACTTGAAGAATTTCATGCCATCCATGAGATGTCTCTTTTTATTAAATGCAAAACACTTCCTGAACATGTCCTTGGATTCAGCCCAGAGTTTGCAAATACACTTATTAAGAATAAATTAACTATTTTAAATATGACTACAGACAAGGAATAGTCCTATATAATGCCTTGCCTTCTTGCAGAAAAAGATATACAGAGATAGTCTTGTAAAATGATGTCAGCTATGTCCACCTCAAAGGGATCGATTTGTATTTAGTATCAGCCTGCATGTGCTAGCATTCTTAGTCATGTAAGCAAAATTATAAATTTAACACTCTTATGTAAAATTTTCCTTGGCAATCTGAGAGTGAAGCTACTTTATGTATCATGCCTATCAATAGGTATGAAAATTGAGGTTTTGTGGAACAAATGGGAAACAGAGCAGTAAAAAGCTGTAAGAGTTAAAAGCAGCCAGGCCAGGTCCTTCTGCAGTTAGACTGGAACTATATTTCTGCTAGACTTTGTATGGTGACAGAGTAGCATGCCATTTTCCTAAGTAGACATATTAGCCTCTATAAGCACAAAAAGGAAAGAGAAAGTAGTAGTAAGAAAACAGAAAAGTCATGTGGCACTACCTTTCAGAATTTTTATTTTTTGCATGACCTTTTGTGGATATAAACCCACTTCTTCAGATACAGTAGACAGATATCCCTTTCCTAATTGTTAAACAGATTGTGCAATCAGTGGTGTATTCCAGCTTAAAATTGTATTGTTAATTTTTAAACTTATATGATTGTAATGTTATTCAAAAGTAGAAATTTGATTCTCAACTTTAACCCCAGCTCAAATTAAACTTAAAATTAAATTAAACTTAAATTGATTAAAGTTAATTAAAATCAAATTATACTTAAAATTAAGTTTGGATTCAATCTTCTCTTCAAGGAATTAGGTAGGAAGTGAAGATTTTTGATTACCAAAACTCATCTATCAAAACAAACAAAATGTGTCAAATATATTAGCTCTATGGAGGCATGGCATGAGTAAAATGGAAGTATTTGGTAGTGCAAATAGCTTACCACCAACATTATAGAAGTGGGGGATTATGTGTAAGGCAGACAAATTGCTATTTATCCAATACAGGCAGTCCCCAAATTATGAATAAGATCGGTTCTGTAGGTTTGTTCTTAAGTTGAATTGGTATGTCGGGACAAGTACATTTTTTAAGTGTAACTCCAGCCGTGTGTGTGTGTGGCTTGTTAGATTAAAAAAATGGTTCAAAACTCATTTCGGATGTAGGGGGCGCTGGTGGTTCAATTCTAAAGTCAATTCCAATTTTCACAGAAAAAAATGTTCAAAACTTTTCGAAACTTCCGAGACTTCTGAATCCTTTTGTTAATGGTTTGAAAGTGTTATTTCCTGTTGCATTGGGTGGTCTTTACTTTGAAAGTGGTTTACTGCAGAAGCAGGGAAAAGCAAGTGGAGGAAATTCCTTCCTTCTCTGGTTTAAAACTGGCTTCTCTTGCTTGAGCCAAGGCCAGGGACCAGAAGCATGGAAAAGTTGAATAATTTACAACTCACTTCATGAGTCATAACAAAAATGACGGAAAAAGCTTCGGAAAGCAAAGGGACTTCTGGTTTTCTTAAAAACTTCAAAATCGCTTCAAAAAGGTAATTTTTCTGACTTTATTCCGAATTACGAAGATTCCGACGGTACCTAACCATGCCTAATATATATAGAGAGAGAGGGGGAGGGAGCTTTGGATAGCATAGGGAAGTGTTTGTTTTGTAGACTTTGTTTTACTGTCAATGCCTATTCAGAAGATTTTTACCTCACTTTCTGTCTCTGTGAGAATTGGATTTTAAAAAAATTGCTTGGGGAAAAACCGGACTGGTGAGAAAGCTTCAATGGAGACACCTTTTCCCCATGATAACTCTTCCGAGAGCGAATTTCCCTTCCAAGGGGTAGATTTCTCTCATTTCCTGTTGTCTCACCCCTGTTCTTAACTATGAGTCATTTGTAAGATGGAGATTTGTAATCAGGGACTGCCCGTACATGGATAGGAATGAAAGTTAATATACAAAGAGAGCGCTACATGCATTTATTCATAATATATCATATGCCTTCCTTTTTAACAGCTAATTTCCTGATATAACAAGAAGAAATAATCTAGCATGCAAAAAGAGAGGTATACAGATGAATGATGAACATCAAAATGTTTATTTGTTCAATATTTATGTCATGGAAATTGAGAATACTGCGATGTCTCTCATATCAATCTAAACTGCATAGATACATCTTTCATCTAAAAGTAGATGAGGAAATTCTCTCTGTGCTCAAAGCATTTGAATTTAAAAAGACACAGCAGGAAGTATTTTCTGGGTTTACTTAGAATAACTTGCTGGTTTTGGGTTGTGAGCTTGAGATGGAGCAAGGATTTGTTGGGAAGGGAAACAGGAACAGACAGAAAGTCTTTTCAAAGTGCACTAGCCAGGAAAAGATGAGACAGAATTAACAACCAGAACATATCAGGGAAAATAATTCCCAAAATGCAGAACAAATGCAAGCTCATATGTGAACTCTAATACCAGCTCTCTCATGAACTGCTAATCCTCTCAGTTCCCAACATTATGTACTTTCTGTTTCTTTGATGCAACATGAAAAAGGCTAGAAACTAGTTTGAGAAGACAATATAGGGAAGATATTGAGTTCTGATTCCTATCCCAGCCTAATCAGAATTTTGGGAGGAAGAAAGCACAATTCATTTCTAATCAAGGGATTGCAATTGTGAATGGACTTCTGGGGAAGACTGGAGTCCTCTCAGCTTCCCAACTTTACCATAAAATTGTCATTTAAGAAGTGGCATAAATTAAGCGTGGTAGTTTTTTATTTTATTTTAACATCAATTCCACAGTTCATTTATTATACGTAAACAAATCAGGTCAATAAGCAACTTAAGATCCACCACTGTAACATTTGCACATCAATGAGGTATCATATGAAAATACATATACTAATATTTTAAAAACATGAGATTAATTACTGTGGAACAAATTTTAAAAAATCAGACCTCACCTGCTAAAATTATAATTCTGGAGTGTGTTTCTGAGCAAAATTTACAGGAATCGGAGAAAAATGTGCTGAGGATGTGCATTCTTTTGCTATCAAATGCCATTTCCAAACGCTGTATCAACGTGATTTGATACATTTTAATAGTTTTGATCTGTCCATAATATCCTACTCAAACCAACAATGCACTGCCATCTATAACTCATTTTTCTTTTTTAAAATTTGGTACCTTTTGGAAACAAACTCCACAATTGTATTTGGCTGAATACAACTGCAGCTCTCCAAGTTTCCCAGTCATTTCCCTTCAAACCGCTCCCAATTGTCCAAGGCACTGCAATAGTTATAGTTTCTCTTCAAACCTTCTCCAACAGCATTGGGAAGTCAGTGGTCAGGCCGTTATTATTTTTAATGACAGATTAAGAATTGTAGAACGTAAGTATTCCCTTTAATACTGAAATCATGTAGTTTTTGCTATTAGAGGTGGATCCAAAATAAAACTATAAAGAAAAAAGAGACTGACATGCTTGTTATACAAAGATACAACACATAATGAATACATTCCCACTGGGATCTCCCTAAGAGCCCAAAGAGACCTGATTTTTAAGGGTCACAGAATAGTCAGTCTGTTATGAAAACACTGGAAGAGTTCACTGCGAGTACATCATAGTTATTCCACTTATAGTTTGCTAGGTCTATGGGGGGAATCAAGTGTGCATGCCCAGTACACCTGTGGTGTCTCTGCCCTGCATTGCCTCCAACACATTATGTTGCGAACTGAAGTGCACCACAAAATCCAAGTGCACCACAAAACATTTCCATGGCCCCCAAACCAAAATAATCCTGCACACTGATGCGGTTTATTAAGAGGCTGGTGCTCTCAAGCTGATTCCACAAATATACCAAATAAATAAAACTGACAGAAAAAAAAGTCACAAGTTAAAATGAGTTGTTGCAGGCTGTGAACATGGAGATATGGCCAGGCCCATGACAAGAGAAGGAGAAAATACAAGAACCCACTGCCAAATTTAAGGAGAAAATTTAAGAACCCACTGCCAAAGAAACTTTGTACAATAGAACTGAAAAGATGATCAGAACATGATGAAAAACGTTAAGAAATTGCAAATTTAGCAGACAGCTCGTGATTACAGGGTCAACGAGAAAACCAGGTGCCGATATTCTGACTGTCTTCTTGTCAGGATTTATTGAGTTATGTATGTGTTTTAAATGTGCTTCTTTGTATTGCAAATATGGATGCCACTGAGAATGGAAACTGCTGTGCTGAAATGTTTAGAGTTGAGGATGTGATTATGTGAACTTGAGAACTTGAGATAAGCTATGTTCTGATGAGAACTTTAAGGGAGTTGCCAGCTTGAAGCTAGAGAAAGATAAACAACTGCAGAGGAGTGTTTTGGCTTTCGGTTTTACTGTCTCTTCCTGTATGTCGCTCGCTAAAGATGGATGTATTAGCTGTGTGCTTAGTAAACTGAGTTTTCTTTTGTAACTTAAGCTTTCAGAGTCCTTATTTTTGCAAAGCAGTGTCTGTAAGATCTAGCATTCCTTCCATCAAGTTGCGCCTAAGCTTGACAGTTCTGAGCATAGGGCTGGGTACATAGCCTCTAGTAGTATGGAGGATGCGGAACATTATGTTCAAGCAGTCAAAATGTCTTCCTTTCACCCAAACTTAAAACAGATCCAGGACAAGTGTCAGCAACTGCAGCGGCACTACAGTATCATGCAATATGAGTCCAAACAGTTCCTAAAAGATGTTGTGATGCCTCATTCATGCAGCAGTCAACAGTTCAATCATTTTGCTTCTCTGGAACAAAGGCATTTGGTTTCTGTGCAAACGTCTGTGCAACAAGCAGTGGGAAAACGAGGGAAGCATCAGCATAAACCTGCCAAAAGAGAACACTGTGAGCAAAAACTTAAGAGTGCTCCAAAAATTCTTTTTGCTTATTGATACTAAAATGAGACCTCGTTAAGACTTGTTGTCTGACTTTAGCTTGTTTATGAGTTACAGCATTCCTAAGACCAACCTACCACATTGTTTACTTTGCAAGATTTGTTCAGAGAGGTTTGCTTTTGCCTCTCTCTAAGCATGAAATAATGTAACTTAGTCAATTTCACCCATCGGGTTTCCATGTCAAAGCAGGGATTCGAACTCCAGTATCTCACTTAGTCCAATGCTCAATGTTGCCTCTCATAAGACTAGATGAGACAACCATAAACTCCAATGGTGACTTGTGAAAACTATGCCTCTATCCCCATGCTCTATTGTCCTCCTTTACTCTACAGAGGGGGATCTTAACTCTTGGGGTCTATATATTTAATGTGTCTGTTCTCTTGAAAGTTACAAAAAATAAATTGAACACTAAACATCACACCTTTTTCTTAGGAATTTAAACTGCATCAAGAGTACTAATCTAGCCAAAGATGAACTTGCTGATATTCAAAAACTTACTACAACTGGAGTGTAAACCAAAATCCTTGGAGGAGTTTGGTGTTCCTTGAAAGAAGCCTTTTCCCAGCCATAAAGCTAGATATGAAAGCTTTAAACCCATTCAGAACAACACATATACACACACACTACATTCGAATTTAAACACCTGTAACCATTAATCAATTAAATTACAGTATATTCTGGCGTATAAGACTACTTTTTAACCCAAGAAAATCTTCTCAAAAGTCAGGGGTCGTCTTATATGCGGGTGTAGTCTTATGCATGGGAGTCATCTTAATTCTATATTTTAACTGGAAAAGTTGGGTGTCGTCTTTTATGCCCAGTTGTCTTATATGCCGGAATATACGGTAATTGGTTGTCTAACACTGACATGTGTTCCACCCTGTCAAAGAGAATCCCCACATCTTAAAGTTATTATTCAGGCTAAGCAACACCAGCCTCTACATGGACATGTGTTTACAAAATAAAATCCAACTTTACCATGTCTATATTTCAAATTAGTATATATACACCCAGTGTTTTTTCGTGTGGATTTTCTCATGGTATTGATTAGAAATTTTCATTGTTCGCTCTTATATTTGTGTGTTCCTTTTCCTCAATTTCTTCCCCTCAAACCAAAACAATTCCAAAAAGATCCTCATTCCTTCATTGACTGAGGAGAGGAAAAAAGAGGGAGGGAATGGGGTCTTTTTGATAGGGACATTTGAGGTTTGGTTTGGGGGGGCAGGGGAGGAAAGTAACACACACACACAGAGACAGAGAGATACGGGAGCAAAAAATGAGTGGTTCTAATATACAGCTTTAGAAAATTCACACCTGGACAACATGGAATTCATATGCTAATAAGTTAAATAAAGAATCATATATATTCTTGAATCTGATATTTGTATGAGGCTTTTAAACATATATTTTGATAAATGCATTCCAATATAATTGATTTTCTTTGAAACTTTATTTATTTTATGGATTTAAAAGCATTATTCTGTAAAAGGGTTTGTAAGCATCATGAAAGGGAATTCACAGCTTTTTGCTCTGTACACACCTTGACAGGCTTGGCATCCAAGCGGATCTTTCCCCAGGAGACTGCCTCATCAGGCCGAGCTCCTGAGTCTGAGCCATCAAACTCCTGGGCGGTGTTGATGTATACAGAGAAGTCAGCACCGTTTCTCTGGAGAATTGGAAGAATTGGTGGCATCAGACATATAGCATGCAGAGGGTTCCAAAACAACAGAAGATCTACTCAACACACCAGACCCAAAGTAACAGACAACCTTCCCAGATTTACACTCAGGGTTATCACACCTCATAAATAAAGGCAAAGTTTCTTTTTTAAATTTAAAAATCTGTATTTACTTATTTTAAAACATTTCATAATACAGTTGTCTTGTTACACCGTCTATTCCCAGATCTATACTCCCACCCCCAACTCCTACCCCATCATTCACATAGTGTTATTTTAAAAAAATAGCTCTTTCAGTTCTATTACTTCTACATATTCAAATTTCATCCATTACATATCTGGTAAGTATTGTAATATATTTTCTAATTGTTCATCCACAATCTTTCTTGGTCATCTGGCGGTTTGAATTCATAATTTGTTTTTATTGTTGTTGCCGTCGTTTCTTACCCGCCTACCAGCATAACTAAAAACATATTGTCATAAAACTTTATGTCATACAGATATTAAAACATATTTCTGTGAGATTATATATGTGTCTCTGTGTGTGATAAAATACATAGAAGAAAAAATAAATACAGTTAACATGAAGCTAATAAATGGTTTCCAAGTTTTATCAAATAAATCTTTTGTTTCTCTTTTTGCTAATCTTAATTTATACGTTAGTTTTTCCAATATGGCTGTTTATTCTTTATTGAAAAATTCTCTAAAAGGTTTTGACTATTTCAAGTCTTGTGGCACATAACATGAGTAATATAAGGTTTTCATTGACCATGTCCTTATTCTTACTTTCAAATGCAGAAATCATTAGTAGAGCTTCCCTGAAGGGCACTGTTTCCCCCACTATTTGCTCCATATATGCTAGGACATCATTCCAGAATCTCCATACTTTTTGGCACATTAGCCATGCATGGATCCAATTCCCTATTTCTACCCAATTTTTCCAACATAATTTGGAAAGTCCATTATTAATTCTATGTAGTTTAAGTGGATAACAGTACAACCTGTGCATACGCTCAAAATATATTCTCTCAGTTAAGTAGAAGACAAAGATTCTTGACAAAGTATTTTTTGCATCCCATAAAAAACACTACCCCAAGATAAACCAACAGGCAAATAAAAGTACCATGTCATCTCTACACAAGTACTTGCTTTTCTACAAACATGTATCTTACTCAATAACTTTGTTGCATCTCCCTCCTCCATGACAAATCCTGACACTCTACCCATTGAACACCAGTGTACCGTACCATCAGGTTGGCATTGGCAATATGGTGTTTGACAAGGCCTCCACCCAAGATTTTTTTTATATATATATAAAAAATAAAATCTCACTCAATAACTTTGTTGCATCTCCCTCCTCCGTGACAAATTCTGACACTCTCTACCCACTGAACACCAGTATACCTTACCATCAGGTTGGCATTAGCAATATGGTGTTTGACAAGGCCTCCACCCAAGATTATCATTCCTGTCTTTCGTGCAAAGATAGCCTGGGTATTGATGAGTCTCAGATCTACAAGAGTGGAAGAAATAAACAAATAAACAAACAAACAATTAATAATATATTACAAAGTGGCATGCCTTGAGATGGTAAATATAATTTTGGGTTCTTAGTATACAAGGATTCCCAATGACAGCTCACAGAATACATGAACATTGGCTCCATTCCAACTGGACCTGCTAAAATTAAAAATATCTAGTGTCAGTGGACAACAAAAGACATTTAAAGATGAGCTTAAAGCTAACCTTTAAAAATGTGGAATAAACACTGAGAACTGGGAAGTCCAGGCCCTTGAATGTTCTAACTGGAGGTTAGCTGTTAACAACAGTGCCATGGATTTTGTAGAGACACAAATAGAGGGCAAAAGGGAGAAACATGGCAAGAGGAAGGTGCATCAAGCAACTCCTTCTTGTGGCCACTTTCCATCTGGAAATCTTTATCCTCATCGGGAAAAACCATGTGGATCCAGAATACAGGCAGTCTCAGAGTTACAAATATCTTACTTACAAATTACTCATAGTTAAGAACAGGGGTGAGACAACAGGAAGTAAGAAAAATCTACCCCTTGGAAGGGAAATTCACCTCATGGGGAAAAGTGTCTCCACAGATGCTTTCCACAACAAGGCAAATTTTTCAAAATCCACTTATCACAGGGACAGAAAACGAGATGAAATCTTCTGAACAGGGATACAGACAGCAAATCAAATGCCACAGGGGTGTTAACCCTTCCCTATGTGATCCAAAGCATGCATATATATGTATACTTAAAAATATATACACTAAAACTTGAATTACACCTACATTTTTACCTGTTCCAACTTACATACAAATTCAACTTAAGAATACACCTACAGAACCTCTTAGAATCATAGAGTTGGAAGAGACTCATGGGCCATTCAGTCCAACCCCCTGCCAAGAAGCAGTAAATGTCTTGTTTGTAACTTGAGGACTACTTGTAGTTCTCTATAGTCACTTATGGACCACCACCAAGACTCTACCCTTGGAAATCAATCATACTCTGTCACAAGTTATCGCCTAAATGAAATTTCAGTTTGAAATACTGGAATGTGATTTCCATTTATAAACCAATTTCTGAAAATCAAAACTACTGGAAAGTTAATGGCCAGCCTTTATAAAGAGATTTAAGTGATATTACAGAAATGCTGTCTTACCTTCTACGATGTCCAGCACAAGACCTGGCTTCTTATAGGAGTGAAAGAAAATCATATCCCCCAGGGAACCATCTGTTATTGCTGGGCTTAGCACAGGGATGCTGTTCTGCCAAAAACAGTTTGCAGAGTTAGTGGAAATGGACATTTCACTAGGTAGAAGCAAGAGAGATGACAGAGTGGTGGGAGATTGTCTTAAAATGCCTGTCTTGTTCAGAGACAAACTAAATGCATACAGCTCAGCTATCTCTTAGGTCTGTTTGTGAGGGGAGGAAACACCAAAGCAAGCAATCGAAAAATAAAGTGAATGTCTGTTAAGAAAACAAGGGGTTTTTTTTGGAACACTGCATATAACAGAGGACCTCTGATGATTTGAAATGGGACGAAACCTATCTCACTGTGAAATGTCAAAGAAAGAATGTTGTATCCAGAACACAATAATCTGAGATATCAAACTATGCAAAAAAATCTTCCTCTTCCTACCTTTTGTGCCCAGTAATAAACTGATTCAGGATTGTTGATTTCCTTGCCAAGTCGAGCTATGAGCTTTGATGGAGTCCACTTCACGCCCTGAAGAACAAGGAAGCCAGCAATATAGTTAGACTGACTGGAAAGCAAAGTATTAGCAAAGCACTATACAGTTTTCATATGGTAGATTTCAAAGGAAGAAAGATTCAGTCAAATGGAGGGTAATAAATTAATGCTATTAGCAATAAAATGTGAATGAAGAACTGTCCATGTAATCACACTATGAACTTATGAGTACATCAAATAAGACTTGTCTCTTTTGCCATCTTATCCTCCACCATACCTTATTTCATTCTGAAAGAGGAAGATTTGCACTTGTTATCAGTGCCAAACAGAGGGAAATTAACACCCAAATAATCCATCCCAAACTAATTAGTTCTCACCTCTGTGTCCTGTTCCATCACCATCTGATCTAGGATTGGCATGAGCCAATCCTCAAATTTGCAGTAATTGTCATTGGGCACCAGCAGATTTCCGATCCTGGAGGAGAGAAGGACATGGATAGAACCGTGCTCCTACATTGTTCCTTCTTGCCCCACATTGAGAAGCATATGCATTAATACCTGTTGATTCCACTCTGCCGGAGTTCCTTTCCACGCAAGCTGAAGTCTCCAATATAGGTAGGTGCCAAGCACTTGATCAGATCTTCCTCTACACCACCTGCTGTAGTTACCAATACATCCACCTACAGAAATTGAGGTAGATTATAATGCCTGACAAACCCCAGTGCTTCTAGGGCAGTGGTTCTCAACCTGTGGGTCCCTAGATGTTTTGGCCTTCAACTCCCAGAAATCCTAACAGCTGGTAAACTGGATGGGATTTCTGGGAGTTGTAGGTCAGAACACCTGGGGACCCACAGGTTGTGAACCACTGGCTTAGGGTCACAGAACTCACTTGTTGTAACAGTTCTGCTAGCTGTCAATCCATTTGGAGCACAATTCAAAGTGCTGATATTGAACTGGAAAGTCCTATACGGCTTGAGTGCAGTCTATTTAAAATATAGTATATCTCGTTACAAGACCATTAGACTTTCAATATTATCTGGAGAGATCCTGCTTTCTGTCCCAATACTTTTTCAGAATTGTTTGGTAGGAAGAGTGCCTTTTCAGTGACTGGTCTTAGTCTTTGAACTTTTTTAACTGTTCTTAGTCTTTGAATGGCTTTGCTATTGGTCTCATCCAAAAACATTCTGGTGCCATCACATTTTTTGAAACGAAATGTAAAGGACTTCTAATTATGTGTTGTGCTATGTTATGGATTCTATTGTCTTTTGATGAAATGCTTTAAATTTATTTTATTGTTTTTAGAATAACTTTTTAATTAATGCTTTTACCGAAGTTAGGATGTGTCTTAAAATCAATGGTGTCTTACAACTGAAGAAACATGATTTTGTTGTTGTTGTTCCTTAAAATTCTCTAGTTATTTAGATGTCGGAGACTGTGTACTTTGGAAAAGGCATTTCAAGGTGATTGCATTTTAGAGCACAAAGGAGTCTATTTCCCGCAGTACATTTCCTCTGATGCACATAACTCAAAAATGCTTTTCCTAAGAAGGTAAGAAAATCTCCTTGGGGTTGGGCAATACCATATTGTGTTGCACCAGGTAGCGGATGGTCTCACGGACACCTGAGCTGATGAGGTTGGAGGTGAAGCCCAAAAAGATGGTGCAGCCTGTCAGACGCCGTGGACAAGGATTGAGGTCAGTATGGTCTCCTGCATCCTCCTGTAATGGGGCCAGCTTTGCTTCAATCTGCAGTGGAGAGTATACCTATTTGAATCAAGCTTCAACGCAAACACAGAACACAGGCAATGAAGGCTTAAATACTATTCTGCTCAATACAGCTAAATATAGGTGACAAAAATGTATAGCTGATGTAAGAAAAAATGAACACGGAAACAAAAGAGGCCAATAATTTAGGCCTCTTGCATTCTAGGAAAAACAAATGAGACAATGAAAACAGAACATGAAGATTTGCTAAAAAAAATAAGACTTATGCCACTTTACCTGTAAGCAAGATTTTTCCCCACAGAAAAGGGAGATAAAATTGAAACTAGTTTGGGTTCATAGTTCTGGATTCAGAGAAAGAAGAATGGTAGGGAGAATCTTCCCTCCTCCTTCCTCTGAGGCAAAGCAGTTTTTAAAAAGCCCAACACAGAGAATAGAAGAAAGAAAACCCCACATACAACCCCCCCCCCCCAAACCGGAGTAGCAAAGACAGATTTTTAATTTTATCAAGTAATATTATGTTTTTTGATTAAAAAAGGATAACATGTGACTATTATGTGATACAATACAGTACACATAAGGTTTAGAGTTAAGAGTTTGTACATTCTTTGTGGGAAGAAGTGCAGTGAAGAAAGGGACAGGCAGTATTACTGTAATCTTGGTCAACTGTATGTGTGTCTGCTTGTTCTGTGTGAGATACATGATGTCAAAACCAATAGGAAAGAATGTTGCCCCTAAATCCTATTGCCGTTCATGAATAACTTTAGCTACTTACCATATGATTAACCTCATTGACAGCCTGACCAAAGCTGGTAGCTTGGAAACCCGTTGTGAGGTAAGACTGGAGTAAGGCATGATAATCCAATCCACAATCAAAGTCATATCCACATACAGTTTGACTCCCTTCAGGTGGTCCCTCACTGGGCTTCAGTACAGCAGCCACTGCTCCTGCAGGTAGGCTGCCTGCCAGATTCTCCATCAGGTGGACAACAGTAGAGTTGAGACCTAAAACAATGAGGACACAGGAGAAAAGAATCCCTCAGAATACTTCTATAACATCTTGCCATACAAGTTGTCACAGAATTATGGACACTTAATACATATTAGACCTCTTTTCCTTCATAGTATGTATGAAGTCTTGGCTCTGCCTTCTCCTCTCCTCTGCTTTAGTTCCCCCTGTTTTCCTATAGTGTAGTTACCTTGCTTTATATTAGTTTGTGAGTGGAGCTTAAGACACCCCTCAGAAGCCTGCCTCGGTTTGTTCCTTTTCCCCAGAGCTCTATGCTGGACTCCTCCTCCTTCCTACAGGGTGAGGCAGTATAACTTCCTTTTTTCAAAACTTAATAAAACCCATTGTATGAATCAGAGTTTTTTTTATAATGTAGGTGCATACCTAAAGTTTTGTTTTTATGTAGTTTTGAAGATCAAATTAGGTAGGTGACGTCCCCCATTCTCCATACACTGAGTAAACCAATTTCTGGCGTTTGTCATGACTCTTGCCAGCATAGCAGGCGTTATGTTGGCAATTTCTTCCTGGATGTTGGTCTTCAAATTTTTTTTTAAATATTCTTTATTAGAAAATTTTTCCAGATACAGCGAATAAAAACAGAGGAGTGTGTGTGTGTGTGGGGGGGGGGGGGGGGGGGTGTTTTCGTTTAGCTTAGCAAGCGTCGTTAAAAATTTAGTGTGGGGAGGGGTCTTGTAGGGTCCTTGGACGGTTCACATAAACATGGGATTTCAAAAAACCCCATAGAAAAAAAATCACAAGGGGCCAAATCTGGCCACTCCAAATCCGCTCGAAAAGTAGACCTCAACGGCAAAAGCACGCTCCTCACTGTTCCAACACAGGATGGCGACTGAACTGTGTCAGAACAAAACTTTATACTCCCGCCTCTCAAACGAGACCACTAGCGCACCGCCACGTCTTCAACCGACTGAATGGCGCACATTTTAAAAAAGGAAGTTATGCTGCCTCACCCTGTATAAGTAGAGCAATAGAGGCCTGGACACTTCTGGAAATCCTAGGCCTATCAATCCAACAGGCATTTCTTAGCACATACAGCTACTGCTACATTTACCATCAGTCCAAAGGACAATCGAAGTGTTGGCCAACCCAAGCTTCTTAAAGAGAGAAGATGAAGACAGTCTTTAGCCATCACTTGGCACCAGAGGCAAAAGAGACTTTCAAACACCCTAGAGAGATGTCTTCATCCAGCAAGTGCTCCCTATGTAATGTATTGTTTTAAGTTACCTCAGGATAGTCCCGGGTGGAGTTAACCCTTCATTCGCCTTGTTTCAGTAAATTTATTTTGGTTATCTCTTTACCTCGCCTCAAAGTGCTTCTGTCTGTTAAGGGTTCTAAATCTCAATAGAAGGTAACAGATAGCCACCGAGTAAAGCCAGACAATATAATTTTCCACAAAGGCTCGGGTGTGCCATCACAGTATGGCCCTTCCAAACTGGGTGACTACATCGTCTCCAATTTTGCAATTGGAATACCAAAATAGTATTTCCATATGGATACATAATGGGATACATATACATAACAGCCATGCCGGCCACATGACCTCAGAAGTGTCTATGGACAACACTGGCTCTTTGGTATAGAAATGGAAATGAGGACCACCTCCCCAGAGTCAGACTCGACTTGACTTAATGTCAAGGGGAAACCTTTACCTTTCCTTACATAGTGAGATATCTTAGAGATGGGACCCAACTCTAAAGAGGAAATAAATCTGTGCTTCATATACACCTTATACACATAATCTCTTTTAACAACTGTATTCATGTATCAAAGTTCGTGTGCACTGAACCATCAAAAAGCAAAAGACTCTATATCTCCACCATCTATGCTGAAGTATATTTTAGATTTCGGAGTATTTTGGATATTCAGAATTTAAGATAAGGGATGCTCACCTTGTATATGTAAATCATAGAATCATAGAATCATAGAATCAAAGAGTTGGAAGAGACCTCATGGGCCATCCAGTCCAGTTCCTGCCAAGAAGCAGGAATATTGCATTCAAATCACCCCTGACAGATGGCCATTCAGCCTCTGTTTAAAAGCTTCCAAAGAAGGAGCCTCCACCACACTCCAGGGGCAGAGAGTTCCACTGCTGAACGGCTCTCACAGTTTTGATGCTTTACCATCCTTGTGGGAGGTCTCCTTCCTTGTAGTTTGAAGCCATTGTTCCGTGTCCTAGTCTCCAGCGAAGCAGAAAACAAGCTTGCTCCCTCCTCCCTGTGGCTTCCTCTCACATATTTATACATGGCTATCATATCTCCTCTCAGCCTTCTCTTCTTCAGGCTAAACATGCCCAGTTCCCTAAGCCGCTCCTCATAGGGCTTGTTCTCCAGACCCTTGATCATTTTAGTCGCCCTCCTCTGGACACATTCCAGCTTGTCAATATCTCTCTTCAATTGTGGTGCCCAGAATTGGACACAATATTCCAGATGTGGTCTAACCAAACAGAATAGAGGGGTAGCATTACTTCCCTAGATCTAGACACTATGCTCCTATTGATGCAGGCCAAAATCCCATTGGCTTTTTTTGCCGCCACATCACATTGTTGGCTCATGTTTAACTTTTGTCCACGAGGACTCCAAGATCTTTTTCACACGTACTGCTCTCGAGCCAGGCGTCCCCCATTTGTATCTTTGCATTTCATTTTTTCTGCCAAAGTGGAGTATCTTGCATTTGTCACTGTTGAACTTCATTTTGTTAGTTTTGGCCCATCTCTCTAATCTGTCAAGATCGTTTTGAATCTGCTCCTGTCCTCTGGACTATTGGCTATCCCTCCCAATTTGGTGTCGTCTGCAAACTTGATGATCATGCCTTCTAGCCCTTAATCTAAGTCATTAATAAAGATGTTGAACAGGACCGGGCCCAGGACGGAACCCTGCGGCACTCCACTTGTCACTTCTTTCCAAGATGAAGAGGAAGCATTAGTGAGCACCTCTGTGTTCGTCCACTTAACCAATTACAGATCCACCTCACCGTAGTTTTGCCTAGCCCACATTGGACTAGTTTCTTTGCCAGAAGGTCGTGGGGGGCCTTGTCGAAGGCCTTACTGAAATCCAGGTACGCTACATCCACGGCATTCCCGCATCTACCCAGCTTGTAGCTCTATCGAAGAAAGAGATCAGATTAGTCTGGCATGACTTGTTTTTGATAAATCCATGTTGACTATTAGCGATGAATGCATTTGTTTCTAAGTGTTTGCAGACCGCTTCCTTAACAATCTTTTCCAGAATCTTGCCCGGTATCGACGTGAGGCTGACCGGACGGTAGTTGTTTGGGTCATCCTTTTTTCCCTTCTTGAAGATTGGGACCACATTGGCCCTCCTCCAATCTGCTGGAACTTCTCCCGTTCTCCAAGAACTCTCAAAGATGGTTGCCAATGGTTCCGAAATGACTTCCGCTAGTTCCTTCAATACTCTGGGGGGTAGTTGATCTGGCCCTGGGGACTTGAACTCATTAAGAGCGGCCAGGTATTCCTGGACGACTTCTTTCCCAATTTGGGGTTGGATGTCCTCCAATCCCTCATCCACTCCATCTTGCTGAGGTTGAAGACTCTCTTTTTGTGAGAAGACCGAGGCAAAGAAGGCATTAAGTAGTTCTGCCTTTTCCCTATCCCCTGTCAGCATTGCCCCATCTTCTCCTCGAAGAGGTCCTATCGCCTCCTTGTTTTTCCTTTTTCTACTGACATAAGAATAGAAGCCCTTTTTATTGTTTTTAATGTCCCTGGCAAGTCTGAGCTCGTTTTGTGCTTTAGCCTTGCGGACCTTTTCCCTACAGGTGTTGGGTATTTGTTTGAATTCTTCTTTGGTGATTTCTCCCTTTTTCCACTTCTTGTGCATGTCTCTTTTGTGTCTTAGCACAGTTAGAAGTTCTTTGGACATCCATTCTGGCTTCTTTGCACTTGTCCTATTTTTTTCTCTTTGTTGGCACGGTTTGCAATTGCGTGCCAAATGTGTACACATAACGTACACAAGCACATGTAATATTTTCAAGTGGGGCAGGTCATGGATTGTAAATACACAACTAAAACTGATCAATTCCTTAAGCAGATAGATTTATATTTTATATACATAAAAGCACCACTGCTCTATCTTTAGGCAGAATTATATTGACTGAGAGGATTATGAATTACAATGTACAAAGCACAGACAGGCAATTATTCTAAGCCCTAAGAAAGAATCCCATTTACAAGGAAATCCCACTGAGATCAATTTTAAATCAAAGAGTACTATTTTCGTTTCTTTAAAATCCATACTTTCCTGGTTTGAATGTTTATAACAGGAAAAAAGCCAAATTCATTTTGAGTGGCGAGTGGTAGTATAGAAAAAAGAAGATTGTCAAAGGTCACATTTTACAAAAAAGGTAGCAATGAAAATGTTCTGGCATTGCTTCCAGAAACTCTGTGTGTAACCCAGTCTTTCAATACCCATCTCTCTCTATCCTTTTCTGCTCTGTTGCTTTTGATGTGGTCTTGGTTTGTTTTTAAAATAAAAGTCATTACTTTACTTGTTACGGGCAGAAAAATTCAGTTAAAGGTCATATTCCAGACTGCTGTTAGTATTTCTCACTTTAGATCATGTATTAATCTTGTACATGGGGTTCCATGTGCTATTGACATCTGTCTTTCTCTAGTTTCCATATTATTCATGTACTCAATAAATGAAAAACAAGCTGCTTCAAATGAGGGATTATCTTTGTTTGCTTTTCTGACCTGACAGGTCAGCTTCTCTATTAGAGTTAACTTCCAAGATTTATTACACCAGTTTTCTGTCATTTTTCCCCTTCCAATTACTAACTGTAACCTGTTTGGCTGTTCTAAGTATAAAACAGACTAAAGCTTTTCTGTATATAGAATACTTCTGTATTCCTGGGTCCATAATGATGTTTCACAGGACTATCACATTCACATCTATTTATAATAGGTCTTCCCAGGTGAGGGAGATAGTGTGGTACCCACCACAAATTACAATAAGAACCCAAAGAACCACATCCCCATCAACACTATGCTGATCTGACACGTCATTGTTTTTATGATACCTTAATTAAATGCTCTGTAATACAGAGACACTGATTTTGATTGACTGGAAATCTGGATTTGATTTCAATCTTCATTTTAGGCATATCCTAAATCTTTTATAAAGACAGTCTCCAGGTTATGATCAAGATAGGTTCTCTAGATTTGTTCTTAAGCTGGATTTGTATGTAAGTCAAAAAGGGGACATTTTAAAAGTGTAACTCCAGCTAATTTTTTGTAGCTTTGGATAGCATAGGAATTTGTTTTGCTATCTGTGCCTCAGTTCAGAAGATTTCACCTCACTTTCTGTCCCTGTGATAATAGGATTTTGAAAAAATTGGCTTGTTGTGGAAACAAGGATTGGCAATAAAACTTCAATGGAGACACTTTTTCCCCATAAGGAGTGAATTCCCCTTCCGAGGTGTAGATTTCTCTCACTTTCTCAGCCTATCGGTGACTCAAGGCGGTTTCCAACAAAACAGTATACATAGTATCATAATACAATTTAAAACATTAAAATTACATAAATCTCACAACAATAAAAATAACATAATTGGTGTCTCCTTATTGTCAAGCATTGTTCAGTTCCATAATCAGTCATCAGTTCCTATATCAGTTATCTGTATCCGTTACTCTGTGTTTGTGAACGCTTGCTCAAACAGCCACATTTTGTGTTGCTTCCGAAATGTTAAGAGGGAGGAAGCAGATCTAATCTCTCTGGGGAGAGCATTCCATAGCCAGAGGGCCACCACTGAGAAGGCCCTGTCTCTCGTCCCCGCCAAACGTACCTGGGACGAAGGCGGGGCTGAGAGCAGAGCCTCTCCGGATAATCTCAAGGTCCTAGATGGTTCATAAGGAGAGATACGTTCGGACAGGTAAGTTGGGCCAGAACCGTTTAGGACTTTATAGGCTAGAACCAGCACTTTGAATTGTGCCCGGGAGCAAACTGGCAGCCAGTGGAGCTGGCGCAACAAGGGGGTTGTATGCTCCCTGAGAGCCGCTCCAGTTAGCAATCTGGCTGCTGTCCGTTGGACCAGTTGAAGCTTCCGGACAGTTTTCAAAGGCAACCCATTTCAGACTTAAATAATAATTATTCACTGCCTTATATTCTTGATTATTTGTACTATTAAATATTTGAAGCTAGAGAATCATTGAGCCATATCTTATTCTTTTTGTACCACATGCTGAATCCTAACACAAGTATTAAAGACAATTTACTTTCAGCGGATGGCAACAAAGATGGCAAGGACCTAACAGAAACTGAAGAGATCAAGAGAAGGTGGCGAGACTATACTGAAGATCTGTATAGGAAGGATAATAATATTGAGGACAGTTTTGACAGTGTGGTGAGTGAATTTCTTTTTTTCCTTTTGGCAGTTGATGGTATCCATAGAATTGTCTTCATCACAACATGTCAAATGAATTTATTTTCCTGCTGTAAGCTTTCTTCACTGTCCAACCATGCATAGCCTCTGGAAATACTAAGGTATGGGCCATCCTGACTTGGAATTCAGTAATATATGTTTATATTTAAGGATCCTGTCTAATACCTTCATTGCAGAATTTCTAATTCTAGGTGGGATAAGGAACATGTGAGCTAGCCTATTAGTTTCTATGCAGCTTGAGTCTTGATGACATAATAACTCAGAAAGAAGGCAAGTTTAGTGAGTGAGCGCTTCACCACAGAATGAATGCAGTTTGACACTTTAAGTGCTGTGGCTCAATGCTATGGAATCCTGGGGTTTGTAGTTTGGTGAGACAACAACACTTTTTGGCAGAGAAGACTAATGAGAAACTACAAGCCCTGTGATTCTGTAACATTGATCTATGACAGCTAAAGTGGTGTTGAATTTCATTCATTCTACAGCGTGGCTGCACCTTTTGTCCTCCAGTGCTACTCTATGATCAACTTCTGCTGCAAAGCAGTCACAGAATTGCAATGGATAACCAAAGGCACATCTATGCTCCAGGATTCATGCAGTTTGACACCAGCGTGATATCCCAGACTCAATGCTATGGAATTGTGATGATTGCAGTTTGCTCTTTAGTGTTCCCTGCTGCAAATCCAAGGATTCCCTAGCATTGAACCCAGGAGTGGTAAACAGTGGTTCTCAACCTGTGGGTCCCCAGGTGTTTTGGCCTTCAACTCCCAGAAATCCTAACAGCTGGTAAACTGGCTGGGATTTCTGGGAGTTGTAGGCCAAAACACCCGGGGACCCACAGGTTGAGAACCACTTTTCTAGTGTTCAGGTCCAGGCTATTTGGCCAACCGCATCCCATTGTACGAACCTGTCCAGGCCCTGAGATCTTCAGGAGACGCCCGTCTCTTGGTCCCACCTCCATCTCAAGCTTGGTTGGTGGGAACGAAAGAGTGGGTTTTCTCTCTCATTGGCTGCCCATCAACCCTAGAACTCCTTGTCCAGGGAAACCAGAATGGCCTCTTCCCTGCTGTCCTTTGGGCACAGTGGTCCTCCAGGCGTCTTGGACTTCAACTCCCAGAAATCCCAACCAGTTTGCCAGCTATTAGGAATTGTGGGATCTCAAGTCCATAACACCTGGAGGACAAAAGGCTGAGAACCACTGTTCTGGCAGCAAGCTAAAACCTTTTATTCAGGCAGGGGTTTAAAGATAAATGTGTTGTAATTTGTGGTTTATATGCTTGTATGGTTTTAACTTGAATTGTTTTTAATAGTAACGATGTTGAATACTGTTCCAATATTTGTACATTGTATATTTTAAGCTGTATTGCAATGCTTTTCATTGTGACCCACTTTGAGTCTCTGTATGGCGACAGAAGGCGGGATATAAATAGGTAAAGGTTTCCCCTGACATTAAGTCTAGTTGTGTTCAACTCTGGGGGTTGGTGCTCATCTCCATTTCTAAGCCAAAGAGTTGGCATTGTCCGTTGACACTTCCTAGGTCATGTGGCCGACATGACTGCATGGAGCGCTGTTACCTTACTGCAGACCTATTGATCTACTCATATTTTGCATGTTTTTGAAGTGCTAGGTTGGCAGAAGCTGGGGCTATCGTATTGATATCGTATTGTTTTTCATGTTTTCCTTTCCAATTAACAATGTTCAAACAAAAGCAGAGAGAGAGAGAGACTGTTTAGGTGCTCTGAGTGCTGCTAAAGTGCTCTCAAACCACTTTAGCTCAGTTAATCAAATGCTTGAGTGTAAATTGTTTGTGGATTATTTACAGGTGAAGTAACTTCTACGATGATCATCATGACAGACATCAGTAGTCTCATGGTCTTTAAAGATAATGATGTTTCAGTTATCTGCTATATTAAAAAATAAATATAGATTTTCCGGCAAGAGCAGGCATGGGCAAACTTGGGCCCTCCAGGTGTTTTGAACTTCATCTCCCACAACTGCTAACAACCTCAGGCCTTTTCTGCTTAAGTGGCTGAGGGGGGAAAGGAAGGAATTGTGGGAGTTGGAGTCAAAACACTTGGAGGGCCGAAGTTTGCCCAGGCTTGGTGTAGCTGTATACGGAGAGATGCCTGGAGAGGTGGTACACATCGGCCAAAGTGGGGCTGCCCTCCTGCATGAGAGCAAAGGAGGAGGAATGGCGTTCTGACTTTCCTGAGAGGTAGCCATTCCCCATCTCCTCTCACCTGCGGCCTGAAGTGGGGCAGTCCAGAGTCCTGAAACGCCAGCTCGATTCCAACATCTTTGGCGAGAAGGGGGGAGAAATGGGAGAGAGAAAGGAAAAAGGGGGTAAATGGGAATCACCCCGCGGTGGTCCTTGGCCTCCCCATGGCGCGGTGGCAGCCCTTCACGTGGCGGTGGGCGGAAGGGGAGCCGGGCCCTGACTTGGGGGGCTGAGAGGCCCGCTTGACCTCACAGTGCGAGGGAGAGGCAACCAATGCCCTCCGCGCTGCCTTACCCGCTGCAGAGCCGCGTTTGAGGCGACTTCCAAGGCAGGAGGAGGTCCCCAGGCCCGCGTCCTTCTAGTCCTCCCCTCTCTGGCTGAGGCGACTCCTCCAGACACGCACGCCTTCGCCCCTCTTTTTAAGCGGGTCCCGAGAGGCGAGGACAAAGCCGGCTCTTTCGCGCTTCCGTTGAAAAGCGTCCCTCCCAATCCCGCCCCCCGCCCTCCCTTCACAAAGATGGCCGGCGGAAAGCTTCACCTTTGGGCGGAAGCTGGCCAAACAAGGCTTCCCTTCCGGCCCAGGAAAGACAGCCAAGGATTGAAAGAAGTGGCTCGTAAGCGGGGCTGCAAAGAAAGCGTTTGGATGAAGAGGTTTTCTTTACCCTCTCTCTTTCCGTAGGGGCAAAAGAGGGAGATGATATGGAGGCGAAAATGAAAGGCGTTGTTGCTTCTGGCAGGGCTGCCTGGTTTTTGGACTTCAACTCCCAGAATTCCTAACCGTTGGTTAGTGCAGCAGAGCCTTCTGGGAGTTGAAGGCTAAACTCCCCTGGGAGGCCAGACAGCTTTCCTATAGCAATTGAAGCGCTCCCTTCAGACTGGGGGCCCTTCCACACAGCCATATAACCCAGAATATCAAGGCAGAAATCCCACAATATCTGCTTTGAACTGGGTCATCTGTCTGGGTTATCCACATTGTCATATAAAAGGTAAAGGTTGTCCCCTGACATTAAGTCCAGTCAGGGCCGTAGCCAGAAAAAAAATTCGGGGAGGGTTGACAATGGGGGGGGGGGGGGGGAGTTGAAACCTGCCTCCTACCTCACGCTGAAGCAAAGAGTGATCCATGCACACCTAACCAATTTCACCAGTGGGAAGTGGCACTCATCTTCATTTGTCACACAGGCAGTTGTTAAATATGTATTTGGAGCCCAATGGATAATTGGCCTTTATTATTTACTTATGTAGGGGGCAGAGCAACCTTCAATAGCCAGCAGCTCCGCCCCTGTCAATCACCTCCACCAAGTCTGGCCTCCTTAATGAGAGCATTCAACACACACACACCCAACTTGGTTGCTACTACATCGGCTATTGCTGCAAGTAATGACAGTGTGAATAAATTGTCAATATTTGCTTGAGATAGTGCTTGCAGTTCTGGAGGGACTCTTAATTTTTTGCATCTCATAGACTTAGCATGGGGATTTGGCTAACCAGTTAAAATTCATGAGTAAACCAGGTTTTTTAAAAAAATCTGAAACATTTCGGGGGGGGGGTTGAACCCTTAAAACCACCCCCTCGCTACAGGCCTGAGTCCAGTCATGTCTGACTCTGGGGTGTGGTGCTCATCTCCATTTCTAAGCCGAAGAGCCAGCATTGTCCATAGACACCTCCAAGGTCATGTGGCCGGCATGACTGCATGGAGCGCCATTACCTTCCCGCCGGAGAGGTACCTATTGATCTACTCACATTTGCATGTTTTCGAACTGCTAGGTTGGCAGAAGCTAGGGCTGACAGCGGAAGCTCACACCGGTCCCCAGAATTGAACCTGCGACCTTTCGGTCAACAAGCTCAGCAGCTCAGCACTTTAACCCACTGCGTCACCGGGGGCATATAGTCATATAGTCCAGTTCAAAGCAGATAATGTGATATTTTATTCAGCTGTGTGGAAGAGGCCTGAGGGCCAGTTTCTGGTAGAAGATTAGTCTGTGGTAAGGATTGCATTGGATATCTTCTCCCTTTGTTGACTAGACACTTATTTGCATATATAATTGATTAGTTAAATCCCCGTGTAGGCACCACAGCAGAATTATAGCACTTTGACATCACTTTGGGCCCTTCCAGACAGGCCGTATATCCCAGGATCCGATCCCAGGTTTTCTGCTTTAAACTGAATTATATGAGTCTGCAGTGGGTAATTGTATTATACCTGGGTTCGGAAGGTCCGAGCATTACGCTGTTTCCACTTTGGGGCCGCTGTTTGCGCAACGCAGAACGGAACACGTGACCGAGACAGGGGTAATGTAAGCCAGGCTGGACACAGATGTTATAGAAGGAATGTAAGAGTTCTTTAAAACCCTAATCGTAACCCACAGGCCCGTAGCCAGGATTTCGATTCGGGGGGGGGGGGGGTCTGATTTTTTTCAGGGGGGGTTTCGGGGGGGGCTGAGTTTCAGGGGGGGGGGCTGAGTCTGAGTGAAAGAGGGTCTAGCCTAGCAAACCTTTTGTATCATTACCCCAATACCCCCAGGCATATGGGATATATTGAGTATGGTGATCAGATCATGATATGAATAAACATAACAGTTTAAATAATGCACCAGTAAGGCCTTTTCGCGAACCACCATGAGAATTTCGGGGGGGGGGGGGCTGAAGCCCCTCAAGCCCCCCCCCCCCGGCTACATACCTGCTAACCCAAACCCTAAACCTTCCCCTAATCCTAACCCTAAACCTTATCCTAACCCTCCCCTCCTTTGTATCCTTCCACCAAATGCAACTTTGAAGTATATTCCCGCCCTCATTGTGCCGCTCCCCCGCTCTCACTCCACCCCCTCTCTAGACGACGTGGTCCTTTCCCTTATTCACAACCGCCATTGTGGGATTGTGCATTATGCTCGTAGCTTCCGGACCCAGCTATTGTACTATCACCCCACACTGCAAGATAATCTGGGATAAACAGAAAACCTGGGATCAGGTCCTGGGATATAGCGCCTGTCTGGGAGGGGCCTTTGAACTGCCATAGGATTGTGGGGTTTGGAGTTTGTTGTGGCCCCAAAGCTCTCTGATAGAGAATAGTAACAATAATAATAAATATTTATTGATATCCCACTTTTCTCCCATGAAGGGACCCAAACATGTTAAAATACAATAAAATACAATACAAAATCAATCAACAACACAAATACAAAACATAATGAGCTAGAGATAAAACATAAATAAGTTAAATATCGCACAATCCCAGAATTGTACAGCTCTGAGGCCTCTTCCACACTGCCCCTATGTCCCAGTATCTGATCCCAGATTATCTGCTTATTCCAGATTATCTGCTAGTGGAGACTCCTATTGTAGTGAAATCATATTTACGGGAAATCATTTGTTCTCATCTTATTGGCCCAAGTCCACTCCTGTGCAATGCATTTTTACCTTTAAGCAATCATCTTACACGATGTATATTCAAGAAACCAATCCATTTGTGCTTATGCGTTTATTAGCTTTTTACTATGTGATACATTCAAAGGCACACCTCCCAGGTCAAGCAGTGTGCCAAGTTAAGCAAGTGAAATCCCAATTAAGCAGGTTTTTTTTAAATATGACTTCAGGCATCTTCCTCAATTCCTCAAGCGTCTTCCTCAATTCCTCAAATTTTCTTTGCACACAAGTTAAGCATTAACAGCATTCTTGAAGCAAAGCGGTTTCTTAACTAAAGCATTTAAAATCAATTAAACCATTCTTTAAGCTTCCTAAACCCCTTTAACATAATCTCGTTTAAAACAGATATAGGGCAATGTCCTGGGATACAGGAAGGGGCCTGAGTCATGGCAGTCAAAGTGGTCTCAAACTGGTCTGAGTTGCCCAAATAAGGTTAGCCAGACTGAAAACTGGAGAGAGGCCCCCTGTGTCTTCAACAGTGTTGTAGAGGAAGAAATTTCACTTGGTGTGTATTTTACTTTCCCCCCCACCTTTCTCCTGCCAGGGTTTGAGGCACCGCCTGACTCAGTTTCGGCTTGCCATGCAATGGCCAGATCACAAGCAGCACCTGATGAAATGTTCTCTTCCCAAGAGCCTTCTCCAGTTTTCACTCTAGCGTCTAGGTCCTTGTGTTCCTCAATACATTGAAAAATGACAGATTTTATTCCAGAAAATAAAACTAGATCCAGCCACCTTGCACGTACCGTAGGCAGAACAAGAAGTGGTGCTGAAAGCACCTGGGAGTTTGTCAGCTGGGGGTTTATTGTTTAATAGGCACAGTAGGTGCTCATTTTCATGGGATTTCAGCACATGAAGAGGTGGCATTTAAGCGTTTTCTCTCCTGCTGTGGTCCTGACAGCCCACCTTCATCATGATGCTCCTGGCTTTAAAATAAACAGAGCAACAATTGAATTGTTTTATGTGTTTCTCTTGGTTTTCCTGGCATATAGCCAGAGGGTGGGAGGGCAGTTTTTTCCTGCAATTATGACACTGTTATGCAGGTGATACCATGTGTATTTATATGTTGGTGTAAATTGCTTCTATATCTATAGAAGTCAAAGTATGTAAAATAGAGTCTCACATATCCAAACTTTGCTCATCCAATGTTCTGTATTATCCAACACATTCTGCCTCCTGCCCAAATCCACAGCTTTTTCAAAACATTGTGATATTTTGGTGCTAAACTCGTAAATACAGTAATTACTACATAACATTACCGTGTATTGAAATGCTTTCTCTGTCAATTTGTTGTGAAACATGATGTTTTGGTGTTTAATTTGTAAAATCATAATGTCATTTGACGTTAAATAGTCTTTTCCTTAATCCCTCCTTATATCCAACATTTTCACTTATGCAACGTTCTGCCGGCCTATTTATGTTGGATAAGCGAGAATCTACTCTATATACGTTTGTTCGTTGGTTTGTACAACAAAGCTTATTTGGCTTGATGGATCTAAACTTGGCACACATACTTTTAATTTAGAGATTTGAACTAAAAAAACAACATCCTTTTTTGAACTAGAGCTGAGGGAAAGAAAAGGAATGAAGTGGATTGGCTGTTGCTAGGTAAAGTGGCCCTTTGTCATGTGACCGAAAAAGAAAGGGAGCGAAACAGAGTGGCTGCTGCTAGTTAAGATGTATGAGCGGAAGTGTGGAAAGAGACAAAGAAGGGAAAGAGGGTGAAGTCAAAAAAAGGAGGGAAAGCAAGGAAGAAGAGAAAGAAAACAGGGAAAGGTATGAGGGGAAGAAAAGAAAGAAAGAGGAGAAAATGTACAAAAGTGAGGGAAGAGAAAAAGAAATGAAGAGCAACAAAGGCAGAAAACAGAGAAAGAAGAGGGGGAAGCTGTATGAGAAAAAGCAAGGAAAGAAACAGAGGGGACAATGTGTGTGAGGGAAAGGAAGGAAGGAAGAGCCATGATGAGAATACAAAGCTAGACAGCATTGGGTATATGTGTATACACATATTTTACAGCTTTTAGCAATCCCTGTCAACTTTTTGAACTCACTTATTGCTGCATTCACCTTTTCCTATCTTTGCCTGGCCCAATTCAGAGCTCTACATGTTTGCTAAACTTGTGTTTTAAGTTTATTCTCCACTAGAGCTGAGCAAGTGTGGTAGCTTTGGGGCACAGTTTTCTGATCTGGAGACCCCCTAGGGAATGTGCAGACTGCCAAAAATGCCAGGGTTCTTAAAAAAAAAGTTAAAATCTGTTTAAAAGCTTACAGGAGAGGCAATTCAACCTCTCCTTTTTGATCAGAGAAAATTGGTTTCTGAAGTTTGGAGTGACTGAGGGATGCTAGCAGACTGCCTCCAAATGCATTTTATCCACTCCTTTTCTACCCCAGTGTATTTTACTTGCCATTTCTATTTCCAATCTTATTATCTCTGTATAGTCTTTTTCTAACCCTGACTCACACTTTTTAATACTCTCTAATGGGGCTGATAGAGAAGGTAATGTGTTCACCTTTAATACAGAAGACGAAGAAATGAACAGCAAATCAGATGCCTGCCACAGAATTACAAAGAAAAACCACCCAGTTGCTTGTAGAAAGCCATTTGTTGCTTGATCTCTCGATGCTTAGACGTCTCACAATGTTCATGTAGTGAACCAACAGTTGCTAAAGCAGGTGTTTTGAGTTCCCATATTGTCAAATTGCCAATTGAGAGTCTTTCTTAATGTCTGTACAGAGGAGATATTTCTCAGCTACTGACAGTCTTCAGTAAACTAGATAGCTGCAGCAATGGAAAGCATGTTGTGATGCCCACACTAGATTGACTATACCAATGGTTCTCAAACATTGGTCTACTGGATGTTGGGGACTTCAACTCCCAGGCGCCCCAACCAGCATGGTTAATTCTCAGGAAGTCTGGAAGATGAAATCGCAAACACCTTGAGGATCAACGTTTGCAAGACAGGGCCCCACACCACGGTTGGGAATCCTACATCCCTCTAGATGTTTTATACTGTTATTTATGCTGTAAGTCATAGCTGTCCTTGGCTGTTCTGGTTAAAGCTCCTGTGAATTGCAATCGATTAACATCTGGAGAGATGCATGATTCCCACCTTTGGCCTCTATTCTTCTGTGGTCTTGGAGCCCTTCAGATAAAATGCAAAACCTCTGAAGTTTTGAAAATTAGCAGCAGCCATTTGGAAAGAATAATTTTCTCCTCTCTTATTTTTACTACATCTCACTTCGTCTTAGCAAGGGTTAAAGTGTAGTTGATTCATGGAGGTGTGGGAAGAATAAAGCAGCCAGACTACAGCAGTGGTTCTCAATCTGTGGGTCCCCAGATGTTTAGGCCTACAACTACCAGAAATCCCAGCCAGTTTACTAGTTGTTAGGATTTCTAGGAGTTGAAGGCCAAAACATCTGGGGGAATCCACAGATTGAGAACCACTGGACTACAGGATCAGGTGAAGTCAACAGTTTATTTCTGGCCAGAAACACATGACAGTCCAACTCTCACTGGAAAAACAAACTCACACTCAAAAACTAGGTGTGTTGCCCCTTTTATACGCTTTTCTAAACTTAAGTTTCAATTGCCTTGAAACCCCCTGTTTTACAAGAAACCATTTGTACCTATTCTATTGGCCAATATGCATTCCATGTTTATCTTAAAAGCAATCAGCTTACATTACATTGGCACTAAGTATGGCATTGAGGAAGAGCCATATCAAGTTAAGCAAGTTAGGCACAAGTTAAGCAAGTTTAGGCAAATTAGTAAATATATCTCTTCTGTTTCTTTACATACAGTTAATCATTTAAAGCATAGGCCCACTCAAAAGGAGTATGACATTGGCCATTTTTCTTTCATCTCATAGGGACTTGCCTCTTCCAAAAGAATGAGATAGCCACCAACTGTTTTCTCCACTATCCTGTTCAGAACAATATGGTTTACAAAGACCCAAGGAGCAAAACAGGTTCATCTGGGTAATTTTCAGGAGATACTCCACTGAGGCACTGGACCTTAGCACAACCAAGTAATAATAGCATATAGCTGCCAATTGCAGCAGACCTGGGATCAAAAGTAATTGTGACAATTGGGAATTCCACCCTATTCATCATCAATGGGAAAGTTTAGCTTTTAAAGTTGTTAGATATGCCAGATAATGATCAGGGATCTGATGGCCATGAGAGAAGTGAAAGAAGCAATCTGGGAAACTGAACTCTCATTAATTGGTATAATTTCCTCTTGTGGATTTGTAAAAAAAAAAAATTGGCATTTCCCCATTCTTTGTGTGATAAGCAAAGTTTGGTTTCTTCTTCCTATCCTTTGCAGATTCAATTCCTAGTGGACTTGCTGTTTTGCAGCTTTTACTTTATGCTTTATTTCTACTTCCCCTTTGCTTTCAGTTGTATATTTTTATGTGCAACACATTAAACAACTGAGCTGTTGAACTTGCTGACCGAAAGGTTGGCGGTTCGAATCCGGGGAGAGGGGTGAGCACCTGCTGTTTGGCACAGCTTCTGCCAACCTAGCAGAAAATATGCAAATGTGAATAGATCAGTAGGTACCGTTTCTACAGGAAGGTAATGGTGCTCCATGCAGTCATTCTGGCCACATGACCTTGGAGGTGTCTGTGGACAACGGCGGCTCTTTGGCTTAGAAGTGAAGATGAGCACCATCCCCAGAATCGGACACGGCTAGACTTAATGTCAGGGGAAACATTTACCTTTACCCATCATTGTACACACACAAGGCTAGCACCAGCAGCTCCATATAGTTGTGTTAATCTGTTGCAAAAGAAAAAACACCATCTTAATGACAAAGATTTTATTTGAATTAAGTTCTTTTGGATTGTGCTTCACTTTTTTTAATCACATAGGGGCTTTAAAGCATTCAGCCCTGAATTCTGCCGCCTGCAGAACTCTGAGAAATGTTGTTTAGACCTTTTGAATTTTCAACTACAAAGGTATTAACCTTCCCAAACTACATTTCCTAGAATTCTGCGAACTGCAGAAATGTGGGGCTGCCCTGTTTAAAGCCCTGGTGTCATAACATGGAGATGCAGTTATATCTGATTAAGTAGACTGCTTCTTTGAAGGTTCTGCCAGATAAAATGCCTCTATCCTTTAGAGGGCACTTTTTTCATGTGTTTCTTTCAGGTTACTAGCATTGGAAATTAGCCAGCTGAGATCCCATACTAATAATTTATTGGATATCTTTGGGATAATTCTTTAATGAGTTAATTGAACTTACTTTCCTGGGTTGTTGTAGGTTTTTTCGTGCTATATGGCCATGTTCTAGAGGCATTCTCTCCTGATGTTTCGCCTGCATCTATGGCAAGCATCCTCAGAGATAGTGAGGTCTGTTGGAACTAGGAAAATGGGTTTATATATCTGTGGAATGACCAGGGTGGTACGAAGAACTCTTGTCTGTTGGAGCTAGGTGTGAATGTTTCAACTGACCACCTTGATTAGCATTTGATGGCCTGACAGTTGTTGTTTTTTTTTGCAGGGGGGAGGGGGTGGCTTGCTAGTGCCTGGGGAAATCTTTTGTTCCAACAGAATTTCTAATTCCAACAGACCTCACTACCTCTGAGGATGCTTACCATAGATACAGGTGAAACGTCAGGAGAGAATGCCTCTAGAATATGGCCATATAGCCCGGAAAAACCTACAACAACTCAGTTACTTCCCTAATAATTGACTGGTGCTGGAGTAATTCTCTTTTTCACTGTCCCCTAATATTAACCTGCCAGGAGTTTAAATGGAAACATTTTGATTTTCATAATTTCTATAAAGTTACATATATTGCAAGGAGTCTAGTATATCAAGAATCTGTATTTCCACAAGATCATAAAGTGTAACAAATCCAGTCTTTCCTCATCTTTGTAGAAATATATGAGAATGGAGAGGGAGCTATAGATCCCAGTTTTCATTTCTCTGCACATTCGAGTGACTCGAACTTACAGAAATTATTGGAAAGCCAAATAATCCAAGGTTACTGCTTTACCACTTCAACCTTTTCCTTCTTTAGCAGTAAAAAGAACATTTGTCTTCATATGGGTAGAATAGAGACGAGACCAGCCTAAAGCCAACCAGGGAATTTGGTCTCTGTTCCCTGAGCTTCGCTTCAGTGAATTATTTTTAGGAGTGTGTCTTTCTCTGTAAGTGTCTAAGCCCAATTTCTCTCCTGCCCAGGACATGATAGATTTTTTAAAAAATGTTATAACTCTAGAATTCAGACAAAGACTGCCTGTAACCTGTCCTGCCTCACAAGGTTGAAATGCATTTGTGTTGGTTTGTCACACCTAGGTATTGCTTTCTTTGAAGTATTATACCATTGCATGTGACCAAAGTCAATACACTGAGATGAATGATCCTTCATTTGACTCTTTGTCCTATTATTGCTGAGGAACGTGAAATGCCATCTCCATATAGAAATGTCCTTCCTCACACAGAGAAAAACAGGATGCTTTCACAAGCGTAGCAGGTAGTCCACATTGCTCTCTGCAAGAATATCCCATAACTGCTGAATTAGAAAGATAATGAAACACATTCAACTCTCATGAGGTACTTTTACAAATGGCATGTCTTTTTATACAGCTAGTGTCAAAGAGAAGCTAATGTTCAGAACAGTAAAGTACTGCATTTTAGCTGAGTGATTCAGGGAAACATAGATAAGCAAGCTGGCCAATGTACCTCCTCCAGCTCTTCAGTTTCATAAGGTACTTGGAAAATGTCTCCATCTTTCCTTTGACTAAACCATTACCCTGTTTACTCAAATCCTTCTGTAATTATCAAGATGAGTTCATTATTGTAATAAGTAAACATGGCAGCTATTCTTCTCACTCATACTCACATATCTGGGATGTGTGTGCAGAAGTGTGTTGAAGCCTTCAACACTTTGTTTTGGTGTAGTTCTTAATCTAGTATTAAAATATATGTGCAGGTGATAGAATCAGCTACCAATAATCCTCCTGTCTCAAAGAAAGGAATTAACACCAGACTGGAAGAGAAAGCAATGTGCCGAATCTGTGTTCCCAGTAATGATGCCACATGTGAGCAAAATGTCAGCCTTTTTTTATGGGAACTGTCACACAGGAGTCAGGGTTACTGCTGTCACCTTGTCAGCTTTGCTTAAATAGCAGTGTACTTAATACATTTATTTATAGGCTATCTAACTTCTAGGTCTTCTTCATGTATGACACAAGGGAGCTGCTTCCAACAAAAATCATGCATCAATAAGTAAGTATTACAGAGCGTTTCCCTTTAAAGTGCCACTATCCAAGAAAAAAATTGTGTACTACCTGCTTGGGCCCCATTTGGAGAAATTATTATCTCATCAGATGGGAAATGAGTTCATTTCTGTGCATTTAATAGGTGTTGTAAGCCTCACAGTAGCCACATGATTCACTGATGCATTGGACAAATGAGACAGTGATGTTAATATTAGGTCAGTTTTAAAATGTTTAGAATCCGGTAATACACTGGATTCCTGTTAGTTTAAGAGATTGCTGCCAGCTGAAATTTAACCTGAGATTTATCTGTTATTACTTAGCTATACTGTATAAATATTACTGTAGTTTCTTTTACCTTTGCGGTTGTTGTCTGTTTGATTTTAACATCTCATCAAGGTTGCAGAATAATAAAACAGACTCTTTCTCTGTGGAAAAGATTTATACTAGCTTCTATGGGATGTGTCCATAAAGACAAGTTCTTTCTCCCCTTTGCAAACAAAAAAAAATGTGCAAATCTCACAGCTTGCTTGCACTCATATATATTGCAGAATGAGAAAATATGTGTATCTTAGGTTTCAGGTTTTCAGCTTTACTACACGTAAAGCAATATTTTGAATTTTTTAAAAAACGTCCACATACAATGTATGCTCTCATTGCAAATGCTGCATGGTCTATGTGGTTACATGATACTGTAAGTTCAAATTATCCTTTCTTCTTCAAAAGTTGTTACTGGCTATAATCTTGTGCTACCATATAGAAGAACAGAGAAAATGTGAACATATTGAGGTCACTTTATCAACCCAAGCTCAGTCTAGAAGGAGTAGTTATACCCATCCTTTCAGCCAAAACAGCTTACAAATCATTAATTTGACAGTTCTCTGCCCTTCAGCATATGATCTAAATAAGACATGACACATAAGGAAAAGGGGATGACAATGTGGAAGGAGAGTAGTATTGCAGATGTTGCATGCTCTTATCTCATTCAGAGGACAGGGCAATGGCTATTGGAATAGGGAAAGGGTCTCTCATTAGTAAGTGGGGCAAAACTTCATGAAAATATGCCTCAGAGCCAAAAAATGTTGAAATGAAGAAAAGGACTCTCATGCAACACAGGATCAATCTGTGCTGGGCTGCTATTCTAGAACTAGAGTTGGAGCACGACAGAAATAGCGTGCAGGTTGATTAGGAGAAACTGAGAAGATCAAAATTGGGTTTTAGGGATCAGAGTGTGGAAAGAGATCAGCAAGCTCATATTTAATTTAATTATTACATCATATTCCCTAGTTTTATTTTCTTCAACCGTCAGATTATCTACTTTAATTAGAGAGAAGTCATCAAACAACCCCTTAAAAGATGGGGAATTGTTTTTATCTTACATAAAGAAGAAAGGCGATATTATGTTTGTGGGATTTGAAGATTGAAGAATTTTTGGTGGACATTAAATCAGAAGATAGCATTTTAGTTAAGAAATATAGAGAGGTTTAGCAAACTAATTGTATAGTCTTTGGTTTGATGGGTGGGAAGAAATTCAATATTTTATGTCTTAAGTTGGGTAGGGAGAGGTTGTGGAAGATTTAGGGTAGTTACTTCTAGCTTTTAAGGTATTTTGGTAGTGTGTTGTCAGTATTATTTCGTTCCTTGTATTTTATTGTGTTTATTATAGTGTATTGTTATACAGTTTATGTACCAATAAGATTATTAATAAAGTATTTTGTAGAACTCTGATCTATTTTTTTAAACAAAAGTATTGATAAGGGAATTGGTCATTTTTTTCCACGCTGATCCTACTGATAAAAACAGCCACTTATCTAAGGGCGCTTCCACACAGCCCATTATCCCAGGAGCATTCACATTTTAAAATTGCGAATGTTCCTGGGCCCCTATCCACACTCCCACACCCCCAGAAAGCACGTGCTTTCGAGAGGGGGTGTCCAGATGTTCTCTCAGAACTTTCTGGTAGAACATCCGGACACTCCAACCCCTCCCCAAAAGACCCCAAAAGCAGTGTAAAATTAAACAAAAAGAACTTACCCAGCCTCTATTAAAGGGCTGCCGGAGTTCTCCTGGCACGTACAAAGGGATTTCCCCCCTGCCTTTTTCTCCTGGCGTGTCATTTGTACATGCCAAGAGATCGTCGGCCGCCCTCTAATGGAGGCTGGGTAAGTTCTTTTGTTTTTTACACTGCTTTGGGGGTATTTTTGGGACTGGGTTGATATTCTCAGAGCTTTCCCAGCTAATTTAGCCCAGAAAACCATGGGGATACTGTCTAGAGTGCAGTCCAGACACCGGAAGTAGTGGTCGTTTCTCTGTTATTGAAAAATGGGGGGAATAAGTGGGGACAAGTCTGTATCTTTCCTGTATGCACTATGTCAAGGAAGATCCTTGTAGTTGCCTGTTGCAGCAAGTACATCCACAGGAATACTGCTGGATGCATCCCTGTTCTCTGGCAATACAAAAATGTTGAAGGGGTGGGGGTATCAATATTGTAAAAGTAGATTTGGCATTAGAAGATGTAGCTACATTTGCCAAAGCACAATATTGGTCATTGTTTTAACTTAAAGGAAAAGTCTAATTGCCTCAAGGGTAGACCTCAGAGACTTGATTGTACATAAGACAACATTTAGGAATTCAGCCTATAACTGATGGAGTCACACTCCCCCTGAAGACACAGGTCCACAGTTTGGGGATCCTCCTGAACTAACCATTGAACCTAAAGGCCCAGGTATCTGTGGTGGCCAGGAATGCCTTTGTACAATTAAAATTTGTGCACCAACTGTGCCCGTTCCTTTAGAGGCTGAATCTGGCCACTGTGGTACATGCTTTAGTTTCACCCCATCTGGATTACTGTAATGTGCTCTACTTGGGGCTGCACTGAAGAGTGCTTGGAAACTTCATCTGGTCCAAAGAGCTGCAGCCAGGTTGCTCACTGGGGTTGGCTACAAGGAGCAGACAACCCCCACTGCAGCAGCTCCACTGGCTGCCAGTCTGTTACCAGGCACAATTCAAAGTGCTGGTTATGACCTTTAAAGCCCTAGACAGTTCAAATCCAGGGTATTTGGCTGACCGTATTTCCTTGTATGAACCCTTAGATCTTCAGGAGAGGCCCTTCTCTCAGTCCCACCTCCATTGCAGGCCTGGTTGGTGGGAACAAGAGAGCAGGCTTTCCTTCTCGGTGGCTGCCCCTGGACTTTGGAACTCCCTGCCCAAGGAAGCCACAATGTTCCTTTTTATTCAAGGTCAGTTTTTACAGAAGGAGATTTTAAAGATTAAGTCAAGGGTCCTGTGGTTTTGGCTATGAATAGCCTTTTTATCAATTTTTAGAATTTTAATTGTTTATTTTTAATGTTATTATTTAATTCTATTTCAAAGTTTATATATTTTAGGTCTTTAATTGTATTGCTTCTACTGTAAGCCACTTTAAGAGAAAAAGTGGAGCAATAATAATAATAATAATAATATTTTTATTATTATTTATGATCATATCCCCAGCTGCTGCAAGAAAATCACACAGACTACAAACAGAGGCACAACTCTGTGGCCCAAATGATTCGTTGGAACTTATGTCACAAGTACCACCTGCCAGTAGTAAAGAATTGGTGGGATCATAAACCTGCAAAGGTAGTGGAAAATGAACACACAAAAATACTGTGGGACTTTCGAATCCAGACTGACAAAGTTTTGGAACACAATACACCAAACTTCACGATTGTGGAAAAGAAAAAAAGTTTGGATTATTGATGTCACCATACCAGGTGACAGCCCAATTGATGAAAAACAACAGGAAAAACTCTGCCATTACCAGGACCTCAATATCGAACTGCAAAGGCTCTGGCATAAACCAGGACAGGTGGTCCCAGTGGTCATCAGCACACTGGGTGCCATGCCAAAAGATCTCAGCTGGCATTTAGAAACAATAAACATTAACAAAATCATGATCGGTCAACTACAAAAGGCAGCCTTACTTGGATCTGTGCACATCATTCAAAAATACATCACACAGTCCTAGATGTTTGGGAAGTGTTTGACTTGTGATTTTGTGATATGAAATCCAGCATATATATATCTCATTTGCTGTGACATACTATGTTTTTGTGTTAATAAAATAATAATATATTCAGCCTTCAGGTTATATAGAGCCTCAGGCTTTTCAGGAAGCAACATCATCTAACCTGCAAGTCCTGCTACCAGTCTCATAAAAAGTTTCCAGAACAAGTTACCAATAAGAAGACAGAGGAGAGATAATAAGCACTGCTCCTTAGAGAACCATCCAGGGGCTGAGAGCCGATGGCTGAACCTCTTGGACAGCATCAAAATGCATCAGCTGAGAGGTTCAAGAAGTGTGTCCATTACAATAATATATATATAATATTTGAATTTATGTTAGCAACATAATGGGCTTTTACACAAAAACGGTATTGCCAAAAATAAGTTCTTTAAGAAGGATGGTCAGATACATTCTGTTGCTGTATAAATTTTGAGGGTTTCTTCTTCACACAGATGCCTCAAGTGTGTAAATGTGAGATAGTAAAGTCACTTTGTGTGGGTTTTAGCTTCCAAAAAATAAATCTATGACTTCTTTCTTTGCAGCGGTTGGGCAGCAGGGAAAGGGAGTTGTGTGAGAAATAAAAAAAAGTTTTGTTTAAAATAAGAAAATGTGTGTTTTATCCATTTGTTTATGCAAGTAATCTTCTAGCTTGTCATATATCACAGGATTTTTCTCCTTATTTCATCTTTTTCCTCAGCCAATAGTGAGAAATACTTTTTATATATTCCAATATATGTGTGTGGGGGGACGGGGGACGGACAGCTGGATAAAACATCACTATGGCTGCCCGTGCAGATTCATATAATCCGGTTCAATGCTATTAATCTGGATTCTGAAACTGCATTGTGTGGCAGTATAGATCTAGCCTATATTATCATATATACTCATGCATTAGTCGATCTCATGTATAAGTCAGGGGTAAGTTTAGGAACCCAAATTATGGATTTTCATATGACAGGGTAAGTTGATTGTAGGTTTAAGGACCAAAACTATTGATTTTTGAATGGGTGGTATATAAGTTGAAAGTAAATCCACAGAAAGGAGAAAGCCCTGGCCATCATGATTTTCCTTACCAATCATTTTAAAAAGGCAGAAGTGACACTGCATTATAAAGGCAGATTTGTGAATCTGTACAGTCATCCTTGAATGGACTAAGCTCTCCCCTTTCACCATTCCACTCTAAGAAGGTGGTGATTTCTTTCTTGATAAAGTTTTAAGGAACAGTACTTTTGTTAGCCCATGGACAAGTCAACCCAGTTTATTCAGGTCAAAGTTTTCTTAAAATGTATAGACTCACAGTAGGTTCTATGTAAAACCTCTGTCTGCATTCTGCTTCCAGCTAATTATCAAAAGGCAGTTGCTCAAGGAGGCTAATCGGGTTCTGCATAGACACAACTAACATCTGTAAATACTTAAATAATCTATGGCCCATTCCAGGACACCTTCATCTAAACATAGTATGAATCCATATAAGAAACTAAGAAACACTCCAGCTTTCATGACACGTTGGCTGAAAACTATATAAAACATACAATTTATACATATTTCCCACAGCTTGCTGGTATAAATCTTTCTAATTCCCAAAGAAAGATTACCAGAATTGCAGAGGCACTCATGAAGACAAATAACACCCAAATGTTTTTGTACACAACATTTCCAAGGAATATATATCATATGGAGGATCCAAGCAGGAGCATGAGAGAAAAAAAGTGCTACTAATGTAGAAAGCATCCTCTAACTTCTGATCAGGCTAAGCCGACATAACAATAAACAGTTGCTAGCCACGTGCTGTTGGCAGCTTGGTAAATATAAATCTGCAGATTTAAGGTGAAAGCCTGGTCTCTTGGGTAAGAAAAGGTAGGATATTGTGCACTTAATTAGCGAGTGCACTTTGAACAGATAATTTAAAAGCAGGGTTTTTTTGTTGGACAACAGTAAAGACAAGGAAATAGAAGTTAACTAGCTGATTACATTCAACTAGTAGAGTTGTCAGAAACAGAGCCTATATATCATTGGAGCATTAATCAAGCCGATAATCCATCAGAGTTGCAAACATTATCAGGATAACACTATAGAGAAGCCAAATGTCCATTTCAGGGTCGTAAGCTATTGCCAGAATGTCCAGAATACAAGCTTGAATCAGAATCTATCAGTTGAGGTCCAAGGTAAGTCGAAATTTCAGGAAACACAATATAGCAAGAGTCCATGCTCCTACCTTCTAGAACTGATGTTACAGCCAGCAACAAAGTACCACCCCTGAGCTTCTTAAATTCTAAATTTACAGGTTTTGCCTGTTGCTGGCTCTCTTCTCGGGTAATCTCAAGGATGCGCACAGCTGAGACTCCTCTCATCACAGGTCCATGAAAGCTGGAACAGTGAACCCTTCCTCAGCCTGCTCAGAGGAACTCACTTGTTCTGCAGGCTAGGAAGTAGTAGCTCCTTCTATGGATGTTCCTTCAGAGCTTGGTTAAGGTAGCTGCTGGGCTCAAACACTACTGCTGAGCCTTCCACCAGTATCTCCTTATCCTCACTTTCCAAGCTATCCGTGACAAGAGTTGCCCTGTTGATCTGCAGACTTTTCTCTCCTGTGGCATGAGGAGGTGGGGGTATGGCCTTCAAGATGTTGGACTGTAGCTCCCAGCAACTGAGATAGTGAATAATAAGGGATTGTAGGAACTGCAATCCCAACAACATTTGGAAGGTCATATTTTGCCTACCCTAGTATAATTCTAGGTTCAAGAGGAACTGGAGATGAGGAACTGCAGATGAATGATAGAAGGGACTCTGGTTTATAAGATGTTTTAGACTTCAATTCTCAGAATATTTGATAATTAACAAGCAGGCTAAATTTTATGAGTGTTGCATTAAAAGAGAGATGCAGTGCTGTTAAAGAAGTGTAGTTGCCTAGTTTTTCCCCTTCCTAGCACAACCTCTATTCTCACCTGAGTCCCCACAGAGAGAAAGGTATAAATAAAGATAATAAATAAATAGAGAACAATGTTGACTACACTCTCATTTGCCCCCACCCCACCCAACCCACTACACAACATCCACATTAAAGGCAACTAGTGACATAAGCCCATTTTGTGCTGGTACAAACACTTTTATGTTAATATTACTAACATACCCAGTGGATGCAGCAGAAAACCTTGGGTGCCTTGACATTTACTAGTAGGAGCTTACATATCCTCCTGTCTACATTGTTTTCTTCTTGCTCCTATCAAGACAGAACTTCAGTGTTTTTGCAGGTCTTATTTATTTATTTATTTTGAGCTTTTATAACCCGGTCTTCTCGACCTCCGAAGAGGGACTCAGGCCAGCTAACCGCAGAGGGTTAAAATACAATAAGATAAACCACAGTAAACATCATAATACAATAGTACAAAAATACATTAAAATACAATTATACAACTTACAAAAGGTCAGTTTGTCAGAATAAATCATAAATTCATCGCCATCCGCCTGTGCGGTCAGCAGTTATTGACTCAATCATCATTCTGCAAATGCAATATTCCAAAGCCATGTTTTTACCAGCTTTCTAAAAGTCAGGAGGGGCAAATCTAATCTCCATCGGGAGGGAGTTCCAGAGCCGAGGGGCCACCACCGAGAAGGCCCTGTCCCTCGTCCCCACCAATCGTGATTTCGAAGGAGGTGGGACCGAGAGCAGGGCCCCTCCAGAAGATCTTAATAACCTTGATGGTTCATAGGGGAGAATCCGTTCGGACAGGTAAATTGAGCCGGAGTCGTTTAGGGCTTTATAGGTCAACGCCAGAACTTTGAATTGTGCTCGGAAGCTGATTGGCAGCCAATGGAGCTGACGCAACAGATGAGTAGTATGCTCCCTGTACCCAGCTCCTGTTAGTAGTCTGGCTGCCTCTCGTTGGATTAGTTGTAGCTTCTGGGCAGTCTTTAAAGGCAACTTCATGTAGAGAGCGTTGCAATAGTCTATACGGGATGTAACCAGAGCGTGGACCACCATGGCCAGATCAGACTTCCCAAGGTACGGGCACAGCTGGCGCACAAGTTGCCTCTGAAGACTGCCCGGAAGCTTCAATTAGTCCAACGTGCGGCAGCCAGGTTACTAACGGGAGCGGGGTACAGGGAGCATACTACTCCTCTGTTGCGCCAGCTCCACTGGCTGCCAGTCAGCTTCCAAGCACAATTCAAATTGCTGGTCTTAACCTATAAAGCCCTAAACGACTCCAGCCCAATTTACCTGTTCGAACGTATCCTCCCCTATGAGCCATCAAGATTACTAAGATCGTTTGGAGGGGCCCTGCTCTCGATCCCACCAGCCTCACAGGCGCAGCTGGTGGGGACGAGAGACAGGGCCTTCTCGGTGGTGGCCCCTCGACTCTGGAACTCCCTTCCACTGGAGATCAGAACTGTCCCTTCGATCTTCACATTCAGGAAACAGGTGAAAACCTGGCTTTGGGGATTGGCATTCAACAAATGAGCCATGATCCTGTGATATTGATGGATGACGACAAATAATGACTTTGATGACGACTGACCACTGTAATCATATGATTGTATTTTTGCCATTTTAATTGTTTCAATGTTTTAATGTTTTAGTATGATTTAGAAATATGATGTTTTAATGACGGTCTGTAATATTGATGTTGGGAACTGTCCCGAGTCCCTCGAATGGGGGTGAGAAGACCGGTATACAAAACTACCAAATAAAATAAATAAATAAATTGTGCAAAAGCTCCTCTGACCACCGCCGAGACCTGGGGTTCCAGGCTCAGCGATGAGTCCAGGATCACTCCCAAGCTGCGAACCTGCGCTTTCAGGGGGAGTGTAACCCCGTCAAGCACCGGCTGTAACCCTATGCCCTGTTCGGCCTTTCGACTGACCAGGAGGACCTCTGTCTTGTCTGGATTTAGTTTCAATCTGTTAGCCCTCATCCAGTCTGTTACAGCGGCCAAGCACCGGTTCAGTACTTGGACAGCATCCTTAGTAGTAGGTGGAAAGGAGTAACAGAGTTGGACATAATCTGCGTACAGATGACACCGCACCCCAAAACTTCGGATAATCTCTCCCAACGGCTTCATGTATATGTTGAACAACATAGGGGACAGTACTGAGCCCTGTGGGACCCCACAGTACAATGGCTGCAAGGTCAAGCAGGAGTCCCCTAATAACATCTTCTGGGAGTGACTCTTGAGGAAGGACTGGAGCCACTGCAAAGCAGTACCCCCAAGGCCCATTCCCGTGAGGCGTCCCAGGAGGATACCGTGATCGACAGTATCAAAGGCCGAAGAGAGGTCCAGCAGAACCAACAGGGACACACTCCCCCTGTCAAGTTCCCGGCAAAGATCATCCACTAAGGTGACCAAGGCTGTCTCGGTACTAAAGCCAGACTGCACCGGATCCAGATAATCCGTGTCTACCAGGAAATCTTGGAGCTGCGAGGTCTAAGAAGAGGATATGTCATAAAACTATATATTTACTGAGGTTGTGCATATGTACAAAAACAGGGAATGTAAAGGATATCTGTAGTTAGCTGGAAGAGACTCCTTACATCTCTCCCTCTTCCACACACCTTGCATACACCTTGCATGCAAGGTGTGGGGAATATCAGCAACCCTGGGTTTCTGAAAACTTCATTGACTGTTATTGTTCTGCTTAGCAGGGTTTTATTTTTTAAATTATTCAGCTTTTGGGCTGCTTTTGTCATTGCTAATAGGTTAAAGGAACTAAAGTGCTCAAGTGCACTTCCAATGAAATATTTTTCAAAGAATACCACATGATTGTGGGAGATGCATTGTTGTGTAATAAATTTAAGGGGATGTTTTTGTAGCTGAATGTTCCTTGTTGTTTGGCCTCTAGCATATATTGTGGCCAAGGTTGAACATCAATGCCCTGCTCAGTCAAGAACAGTCAAATTTATTCCTCCTCTTGCTACCCACTTCCATTGCAATCAAGGTGCTTGGCTGTACCGAGATTAATTTGCTTCCGCCACCTGTTGTATTTTAATCATAGCAGATGCATTCAACCAAATCACCACCAAGGTCAGCCTCCATGGGCTGATACTCTAATCTGCTCTAACTTGTAGCATTTACTTGAGCGAATAATGAACACTGTCAAGGCAGACCTCACCTCTGTACATTTTGCGTAGAAACATGTAACTTGAATGAATACTGGAATGATTCTTTCAATAGCATGGGTCATGAATATATTATTCAAAAGATTACCTTTATAAGCATTACTAACAGTACCATTTATTAATAAAATGACTGCTTTCCTGTTATTGCTTGAAATAATGCCAAACATTTTATTGTTAACATGTGTAGTACAATAAAAATGTTATGGTTCCAATCTTGCTTAAAATATTTTTTTATTGAACCTCGTATCCAAAAAGAAATGTGGGAATGTTTGAAGGTAAAATAATGTATATTTAAATATGTCAATCAACAGTCTTACTCATCCTTAGCTACACTAATACCAATTAAAGTATGAAATAAATTGACAAAACATCTATATGTCAGATATATTTATCTAGACTTAGTTATACTTAAAATCAGCCCTTTGAAATAATCTACAGGAACATAATTGTGTTTTGTCTGTTTACTTTGTTTTTTTGAAAATAGATGTACTAAGTAGGCTTGTGCAGTCTGGGTAAACTGTGATCCATTTTGGTGTCCCGGATTTCAGTAGGGGTCCGAATCCATTTTTTGAGAGTTTCCTGAATTCAGGAGAACAGAAATCAATTTTCAAATGAAGCTGAAAGATTCATTTTCTATCCAGCTCATTATGGGGCGGAGGAACTTTCCAGGTTTCCCTTTTCATCATTTTAGGCATCATTTGTTCTTATATTCTTTATTAAGACTTGGATTAAAAGCATCAGCGTTAAGATGCCACTCTTTCTGTGATTCTTTCCCTTCTATCTGTCAAAGAGACCAGGTTTAAAACTGTTTCTACTCTATAGGAGACGGGCATGTGCAGGACACTCTCTCCCTGAAGCATGCAGCTTTCCAAGGCATTTAAAGGAGGTGTCTCCATTTCCCAGGGAAGGAAGAGCGATCGACCTGGAGTTATTCCGCCCTGAGCTTCCTTTTAAAAACTCTCTCTTTTCTCTTGCTTTTCAGGCCCTGGAGTAGTGTCTCTCCCCCTCCCCCCATGCTTAAATCTACTTTCTGCTTCAAGTTTAATGCTTAGTAGTTAAAGCTGTTTCTACTCTAGTCGAGACGGGCATGTGCACAACACTCTTTCTCTGCAGCACACAGATTTCCAAGGCATTTTAAGGAGGCTTCCCCACTTCCCAAAGAAAAAAGAGTGATTGACCTAGAGCTAACCTACCCTGGGCTGCCTTTAAAAACCCCTGTATTTTCTCTTAATCTACTGGCAGTGGAGTAGTGCATTTCCCTCCCACTCACACTTCAATCTCCTTTCTGCTTCAGGTTTGCTTAGTAGTTAAAGCTGCCTTGCTGTAGAGATATGCTTACTGTTAAAGAAATTCTCCAAGACATACAGGAGCTTCAGAGTACCACACGTTTATTGTTCAGAATACATGAATCATGTCCTATGGCTCATATATTTTATGACTTAAACCCATAATGTTATATATCACCTAAATCATCTGATGTTCCCCCTTTCCCACACATCAGAGCCATTGATCTTTATGGCAAGCTAATAAAACCTCCCCATTTGTCCATGCATTGAGAGATTACACAGGGGGTGTCCTAATTAACTATTATTATGACATCAGCCTATAATCAATATAGCAGATCACTTTAAAGCAGTGGTTCTAAACCAGGGGTCCACAGAATGATTTCAAGAGATCCACAAGCTTGAATTGAAAAGAAAATCAACTTATTACCTTTTTATTTTCTCTGATCTCTAACTGAAATCTAGCATTTCCTTCATTTATCAATGTGTGCAATAAATTACAGTGGTATTCATTTCATAATGCATGCAGTCAGGCATTTAGCCGGGGGGGAGGGGCTTGGGGGGCTTCAGCCCCCCCCCCAAATTCTCATGGCGGTCCGCGAAAAGACCTTACTGGTACATTATTTAAACTGTTATGTTTATTCATATCATGATCTGATCACCATGTGCATGGGGCTATTGGGGCTATTGGGATAACGATACAAAAGGTTTTCTAAGGTAGACCCTCTTTCACTCAGACTCAGCCCCACCCCCCACCCCCCCCAAATCAAACTCAGCTCCCCCCGAAACAAAATCCTAGCTACGGGTCTGCATGCAGTAGTAAAATTTAATTTAAAGACATGCCGATGTTGGTGTCTTAAAACTACCTGTCGCCACATTCTGAGAAGAGATCCATGATTTTTTCCTGATTGCCATGGAGTCTCCTGCTGCAAAGAAATATAATGCCAAGGAATGACCAACTCCAATGAAGCCAATAACAATTTAATTTTTCTTTCCTTCTCCCCAAGAAGAATTTCCATAACTGACTCTTGAAACCTTTAATCCAGGTTGTTGAATAATTACTGGGAATGGTATGGGCTATTTATCCACAAGCACAGTTACATGTCACATTAACAGGGTTTACCTCTCTTACATAGCAATTTGTAGTGTTTACCACTATTACTTTGTGCTATTTTATTTGTTTGTCAGAATTTGATTGCATAAACATTGAGACAAATGGAGTGAATGGGGTAGGCTTGTCTGGTTCTAGGATGATGGGACCTGATAAGCAATCCTGGAACTGGGAGTTTTTAAGCACATACCTGGGCTGAGAACTGTCACTTTTTAGTGGTATCCATTGGAATGTCACACTTATTTTCACTGACAGCCTTATGGTTGCCTTTCAAGGGCCATTTGTAATTATAAGACTATAAATGTAACTATGCTGTCCTACCATTGGAAGTCTCATGGGCCAGTTAAAATGATGTGGTGGACCAGATTCAGTCCATAGGCCTTGCATTTAATGTGTGATTAGTTTTTTAATCACATCAGTACATCGGTTTGCTCTCAACAGAATGTTGCTATTAATATAGTATGAGCCCCAGAGAAGAGGAAAGCAACCCTTCCAAAACCTGGAGCACTGGTTTTTTGTGTAATAAGGACCCAACCGAGATGATGCAGTTCTTAAATTGCTTGTATGGCTGAATACATATGTGTAGGCTGCTATCATACCAGCCTTTTTCTCTTTGTTTTACTCTTTGGTCCAATAATACTCAAATCAAAAGCATAATTGGAAAAATGTTTAGTGCAAGTTGGTCTCTCAAAATATTCTTCCAGGACATACATAAAGGGAAATACATTAAATCTCATGTTAAAAGTAAGTACATGTTACATGTTTTCATCATCTGATTCATCCTCTTCTTTCAGAGATTCCTTAGCATATTTTTCAGCTTCTTCCTTAATGTCTTTTGGGACAACTTCATGTTTTCCTTTAGTTATTTCTCCAACCCAACTGAGTTCCAATTCGAAAGCTTTGTCTTTTACTTCATCATGGACTATGTAGATTATTTTTGCAACTTCTTTAACAGCATCACAACAAGTCATGTCTTTCATCTGGAGCTTTTCGATTTCTGTCTTTGCAGCCTGCCGTGCTTTTCCAATGGCACATCCCCAGTAACTGTATGAAACACCTGAAGGATCAATCATGTACAACTGGGCACCATCATCGTTGTCATAGGAGCCCAACATGAAGCTGCAGCCGAAAGGTCCGACAGCACTGTATAGTGTGTAGGCATGTACATACATAGCCACTCTGTCTGCAAGATGTTTCAGTGGTATAGTGTAACCATAGTTGGATCTGAAGTTGGAAGCTTCTTCCCTTGCTATGTCAGCCAAAGACCGAGCATCAGCCAGAAGTCCTTCATAAAGTTTGGATAAAACTAGTTTTTCCACTCCAAAGACTACACCATCTTTACACCGAATCCCAATTGCTGTACTGCTATTTTCAACAGCTTTCATGGCATATTCTACTTGAAACACTCTGCCATCTGGAGAAAATGTGGAGGCCGACAAGTCATACCCGGTGCCGATGGAACTCATGGCGGAAGAGGCCTGAGAGCAAACAGCCGGCCCTCCTTCTTCTTCTTCTTTGCCGCCACCTCACTCACACTACTCCGTGTGATTAGTTAATCTAGGGACTTCATTAGACGGGTGAGGAAAAGTGGAGCAAACAAATTTATTTCATTCTCTACTGTCTTTCCCCATCTTCTGGGATGGCTGGCCATCCCATGTCATTTCCTGCCTTTTCACATGGAAACCAGAAGTGGCCATGCATTGTGGGATGACCTTTGTGGGACTCCATTTTGCCAGTGCTTGAAAATGAAGAGAAGATGCAGAGTAGAATGCATCTGGTGAGGTCCTGTGACCTCGTATTTCCTATATCCTTCAAATACCTTGACATTCCTCAGTAAGCAAGCAAGCAAGGTAGACTAGTGGCTTGTACATCAGCCCTATATGATACTCTTGTCATGCCCTGTGCTATATGAAAATTACAGCCATTTTACTGCATTTCTCACTCTGGGACTATTTATACTATTGATGCTACTACTATACATCTTCCCATTAACAGCTAGATCACAAATTTGTTTTTAATCTCCCTCTCAAAATGAAAGTTACTGATCTGACTGTGAATTCACAGACTCCTCTTATGGAAATAAACATTATCAGTGTCAATACAGCAGGTAGAAGCTGCAGTTTGGTCTCTTGTCTGTTTTCTCTACTTCACCATTCAAAGATCTTTTCTCTTAAATAGAATGTAAAAGATAGCAAGAAATGGGAAAGCAGCTGTCTAGGTGAATACCCTTAATTTCCTAGGCCACCTAATGCTATCTGTTTCACTTTAAGAGCATTCCAATCTTTTTGTCATCCATCACCTGAAAGAATAACATATTACTGAGTGTTGCTTTATGTTTAATGATATGCAATGTTTTCTTGCTGGGTACATGGAGTGCTCTGTTCTGCACATATTATTTATTTATCAAGCATTCAGCTCTCATAATGTTTTTTGGAATGTGAAGACATTAGATACAGACATGGCCTCAGATACATAGTTTTTACTTTCCTGCCAAGACATGGGGAAGAAAACATAATTTAAAGTGTTATATCAGATATTTAATTGATGAGTTTGCATAGGCCTGTGTCAGATTTTGCCTGCTAAAACCCTGGCATTAGACAGAGTGAGGCTGTTGTCTCAGGTAGCAGAAAGTAGGATGAGACAGTAAAGTGTTGGAAGAGAAAGCTATATGCTAAGCAAGCAGTCTTCCCTGCAACATTGGAACTGGATGGCCCATTGAAAACTCTGGATGCTCTCCGTCCCAACAAACCTCTCAATTTATTCCTTTGCATGCCTTTTTAAAGTGCCCAGAAGAGCTGTGCTTCCAAATACATTCATGCCTATGGAGTACACAAGACAAAAATGTGGTCTCCAAAGCAAGTGTTGGATCTTTCCAATAGCAAAGAAAGAGGGGTGGAGAATAAATCAGGATGCTAAATGGCGCAATTAACATGGTTCCTGGACCAAGCAACCAAGGAACTGAGAAATTAGATGAAGAAAAAAAATGATATCAAATTAACTAGCTGTGTTTCCTTAACCATGTCCAAAATAACTAGATCTAGATTCAGAACTATTGAGCTGGCTTTCCAGAATTATTTAAAATTGGCATGGTTTGTGGCAAAGGAGGTATGATCAGAGGAGGCTTTGATGCTCTGATGGAGATCGGGTAGCCTGGAAGGAAATAATAATAATAATAATAATAATAATAATAATAATAATAATAATAATAATTTCATTTCTTTTATGCCTCTCCTTGTGGCTCACGGCAGGTTACAGAATATTTAAAACACATAAATATTGTAAAATACTACAAATGCTTATTAAGAATGTATTTCTATAAAAGCTTTATGTATTCTATGAAATACATGTTAAAATACACACACACAAATTAAATAATGGACACAAATTTAAAATTCATGCTTTAAGATGGACTGGGTAGGCCTGCTGGAAGAGATAGGTCATTACATGGTTTTAAAATTCTGACAGCTCATTTAGCTATTAGAGTTCTTCTAGCAAGTCATTCTGAAGTTGTGGGGCAGCCAGTGAAAAGGTCCTCTGGGTGATAATATCCAGTTAGTTTCCGGCAGGCCAGAGCAGAAACCCCCCAGAGGACCTCAGTATTTGGGGTACATTGTACAAGAGAAGGCGATCATTTAGGTACCCTGGACCCAAACCATGTTGTCGGGACACAGACACCTTAAAGGACCAGACTCTGAATTAGTTCCAAAATAGAGTTTATTAAACAAAGAAAAAGGACTCAGAGACACTTAACTCAGTGTCTCTGGTCAAAACACAAAGGCAAAAACCAGTCCTGGTTCAAAAGCAGTAACTGAAGCAATAATCCGGATCATCTGGAGAAAAGAACCGGATTATAACAAGCGCTCTGAGAGTCACATAAAATAGCACAGCAATTCAACAGTTAACAAACAGAAGAGCCACAGCGAAGGAAGCGTAGTCAAATGAAGTCCGAGGTCGTAGCAAGCTGAATCCAAAGCAGCGAAGTTCCAAAGTCCACGTAGGCAGTGTCGTAGTCAAACCGGTCCAAAGTAAAGGAAAGGGGAAGTCAGCACTCACGAGAATCCAAGCCGAGTTGAAAGTACACACGAACGGAAGCAGCAACCTGCAGATCCAGGACCCAATGCCAACACAAAATGGGCAATGACAAGAACCCAATGCACGAACATAAACCAACACCTTGCCTTCTGTGAAGAGTCCCCATTTCAGAGCCTACTTTTATCCCACACATCATCATCAGAAGATGAACTGACCTCCGCCCCATCGTTATCCCTTGCAGCTGTTCTTGATCCCACATGTGAACTCCTACTTCCATCCCTCCAACTTCTCCATCTTCTGTCAAGACTTAGATCTTCCCAGGACTCAGCCGTATTCCCCGATTGCCAGTCCTCATTACCAGAGAACCCCACAAATGTATCACTGGACGTCGGCTCTGCACATACAGGATTGTACCTCTTTTACCTTAGTCCAGTCCAGTGTATCATCTCCATCTTCACCACTCTCTAACCCATCACTTCCAGAAAAACCCCAAAATAATTCCTCATCTGTGGGTGCATTAAGTATATCCCGAACCCTTTTCCTCTGTTGCTCCTCATTAGACTCCTGCTCCCGAGTAACCCGTTTTCCCCTTCTAGTGCCCAACCTACTGTTAGCATCGGTACTCGCAGGCTCTACTACAATAATGTTGTGCTTAAAAGGTCAAAAGCAAAACTTTGTACTTTGCCTGGAAACTAAGGGCCCTTCCACACAGCCATATAACCCAGAAGATCAAGGCAGAAAATCCCACAATATCTGCTTTGGGGTTATCTGAGTTCACATTGTCATATATCAGCTCACTGTAGCTGCTCCCAAATAAAGACACAGGACACGTTGTGGTATCAGTGGAAACTTTTACTACAGGATGCATTGACATATGATAAGCCAAGAGTGTCAGGCAGCAGCCTGCATTCCCTTTTACACCCTCCCCCACATTCAAAGGAACAATTCCCACCAAGATTGAAAGCCTGTGAAATCCACCTGCCAAATCCCTCAGCCGTTTTCTCCCAGGGTCAGACGTTGTAGGTGCCTTAGGTTTATTGTCAATGGCCCTGATTTTGGGCACCAGAATCCAGGCCCTGAAATCTGCGTCCTGACAGCCATATATTTCAGTTCAAAGCAGATAATATGGGATTTTATTCAGCTGTGTTGAAGGGGCCTAATTGTTAGCCAGTGGAGTGGCTTTAGGTAAAAGGTAAAGGTTTTCCCCAACATTAAGTCCAGTCATGTCTGACTCTGTGGTGTGGTGCTCATCTCCATTTCTAAGCTGAAGAGCCGGTGTTTTCCATAGACATCTCCAAGGTCATGTGGCCGGCATGACTGTATGGAACGCCATTACTCCCAGTTGTTCCTGTAACCAATCTGGCTGCCGTATTTTGAACCAGCTGGAGTTCCTGAACTTGGTACAAAGGTAGCACAATATAAAGCACATTGCAGAAGTCCAACCTTGAGGTTACCAGCTTATGCACTACCATCTTTAGGCCCTCAAAATCTAGGAAAGGGAGCAGCTGGTGTATCAGCCAAAGCTAATAGTAAGCACTCCTGACGATAACAACTCCTTGGCTGACATTTGGAGAGACAAGTAGCACTCAAGCTGTGAAGACAGTCTTGGGGGGGGGGGGGGGGTGTAAACCACATCCAGAACTGGTTGATACACCTCCTTCCCCAGCTTAGGGCCCTTGATGCCAAGCACTTCTGTTTTGTCTGGATTCTGTTTCAATTTGTTTTTCCTCATCCAGTCCATTACTTCCTCCAGGCACTTATTCGCTCCATGCCCATGGACAATCTCTCCCAGTGGCTTCATGGAAATATTAGAGAGCATTGGGGATAGAATGGCACCTTTTGGGACACTACATAACTGTTCTCCTTTTGAAGACAGTTATACCTAAGCACCACCATCTGGAACCTGCCTGAGAGGTATGACTGGAACCACTGCAACACAGTGGCTCTGATTCCCAGCCTCTCCAGGCGTTCCAGAAGGTTTCTACAGTTGATGGTAATGAAGGCTGCTGAGAGGTCTAAAAGCACCAACATGGACACAAACCCCTTGCCAGTGCAGAGATGGAGATCATCTATTAAGGTGACCATAGCAGGCTCAACTCCATATCTTGCTCTGAAGACGGTCTGAAATGGGTCAGGAAAGTGTGTGTCATCCAAAAAAAAAGGGAAGGTTAGAGAATTATTAAGGTCCACGGAATCCTTGGAGGGCTTTTTCAGCAGTGGTCTTACTGCTTCTTACAAGCATGCCAGGTCAGCCCCTTCATCCTTGAGGAGATCATTATTCTTAACTGACCTGGCATTATTTAAGAGTAAGGTGAGTTTTTGTGGGTGGCCTGGCTCACTCTCCAAGTGCTCAGACTGGCAGGATAGGTATTAAACACCTTTCTCTCCTTCCTCTATAAGGGCATGTGACTCAGCCATCACCATATCTCCTTCTGCCCTTCACAACTTCTATTGTGCCCCAATTTCCAGACACATTGAATTAAAAACAACAATACAGGGACAA